TTTTTTTTTTTCTCGGGTAAGATTTCGACAGACGATGACAGAAAATAAGCAGATGACGTTCATACCAATTTATTTAATTCACTAAAAAAAGTTTCTAATATTTTTTAAAACTATGGATGGGTTTGTATATAAATCAGTCGTGCGTCGTCTCTTGTTGTTTTTAACCAGTTTTATTGGTTTATTTCAAAAATCACAGATCATATTTTGAATATTATTGGATTGACGTAACGATGAACGATATACGTACGCATATGCGTGTAAACCCCAAACCCGCCTTAAGATTTTTGACGCTTGTCAAACTCTTGCCAAATTATAGGTTATAATTTTGTGTCAAATTATGTCAAATACCGATTTGCGAATTGCTTTTGCATTTCAGTGGAGGAAAAATCAAGGGAAACTTAACTGTAGACCCAGAGCACAGTTTATAGTTAATATTCGGTGCCCAGACAGAGAGTTTTATACACAAATAAAGTTACCATCAGTAAAGTTTGTATACCATCTTACATATGGTACTAAAAACTGGAGTACCTGTAAAATAATATCACACAAAATAGGTAAATAATAGATTTTAGTGCTGCAGAAACAATGTCAAAAGGTACTGGTTTAAAAAATTAAGATTAAAGTTAATTGATCAGCTTTTAAAGCTTATAAAATTCAGTAAGTGTTATTATTAATAAAATATTTTGTTTTATTTATGTTGTGTTTTATTTGTTACTGTGCAATATTAAGGTTTTTTATTTGCACATAAGTTATATTGATAAATATAATAATAAATGCAAGAAGTTTCTTGAAGCTTGAAAGTAAGAAATAGTTCTTTTTATATTTTTATGGTATGTGGTATATTGTTTAAAATACATGCCTTGTTTGTTTTGCACACATAAATTTACACATATGTATTTTTTTAAATTAAATAACTCGATTAGATTTTTTCAGTTTTATACAGTTTTTTTCACAATATTTTGAAGTAATCACTTGTCACTCAAATTTTAAATATAGGTATTCAATTGTACCAACTTACTTCTTTGTAAAATAAAGTAAACTACTTTGAAATTAAAACGACATACACATCTATCAATGTCAAGGATTTTGTCGTTGGACAGACTATACCTTTTGTAAATGACTATACGTATTATAATAACAGAAATATGCCATTGTATTCCTCTTTCGAAATGATGTAAAACTCAATAGAACAAGAGGTTCGTGATTAATGCATCACCTCGTAGAGAAAAACCTAGTAGCTGTTGAAACGCGAACAACTTATGTCCCGAACAATAATCCGACCGCGCGTTGTGCAATTTTCCACATGTCTTCATTTCCCAACACGCGCCTTCATTGGACGTTATCTCAGTAAAAATCAGCATTCTTAAGAAACACATAGTATATCCTGTTCTTCATTCTACATGTCTTTGAATAATTTGATAATTGAATTCGCGTTGTACCAGACCTTCGTGTGTTAGATCTAGATCCCGGGACCTTTAAGATTTTTTTGCCAGCGCTAAAATTAACATACAGGGTGTTCCTTAATGACATGCTAATATTTAAGTGGGTAATTCTTGGGAATTCTTCTCTCTTCTAAGAAAAAAACTTCATATGAATAATATATGTGGCAACTATATAAATATGAATAATATATGTGGCAAATATATAAAAATATATATGGCAACACTGTCGCTTTCAGTTCCGCACCGGCTTCGATATGTCTTCGCTAGCCGAATTAGAGAAAATTAGTGTTTTATGCGTTGGCCGCAGAACGAGTAGAGGATCCACCGTACAGCACTTGAGATGTAAGGGGAAATCAAATCAGCCTTGTCACGAATTTGCCCATTAGGTTGCATATCTTCCCAATATTTTCAATCAACAGTTAACGGTTGCAAGATATACCGCGTGCGTCTCAAAAGTGGCTCACCCCTATAATTTTTTTATTTTTCCGGATAAAAAAACGACATTTAGTATGTTAGTATGTATATGATTAATTAGGATTTATTGCCGCATGCAGTTGTTTTTGGTCACTTCCTGTTTTACCGAAAATGACTCCAACTTTTGATTTATAAATGGCACCCTCGGTATATTTCTACTTTATACAATAGAAAATGACACTCTGAATAGAATGACATATCATATGTCAACTTCTGACATTTTCGCTTAAAAAATACTCGTATTAATAATACATTTTAGTCTAGATTGCCATAGCTGTATTAAAAATACTAATTTCTAATCAAGGACCTTTGGAAAAATAGATTTGATCGTTTAATGTTCTTAGTTTCTTGCCCTGGTCGATGCCCAAGTTAAAAAAAAAATTTTAATCATATCTCAATTTTTTCAAATACCTAGAATAAGGGTGGTTCATATTTGAAAAAAACATTTTTTTACGAATAATTTGGCACCACACACTTATCGTTATGAACCGCATGTTACAATTTCAAATAAACCATATGCAAAAATGTCAAAAATTGACATATGATATGTCATTCTATTCAATTGCATAAAGTAGAATTTTTTTTTCTAAGGAATAAAGTGGAAATATACCGAGGGTGCCATTTCAAAATCAAAAGTTGCAGTCATTTCCGGTGAAACAACAAATGACGTCAATGAATCCTAATCTATGTCATATACTAACATACCAAATCTCGTTTCTTTATTTGAAAAAATACGAGCGGTATATATCAAGACTTTTTCTCACTAATATAGCTTAAATGTAAATAAATTTTCAAACGAATCAATTCTAAATACAAAAAAAATTAATAAATAATTAATATGCTTAATAATTGAGTAATTAACAGTTTGATAAGAATAAGTATTAAATAAATTATAATTACAAAAGAACAATGGTTAATTAATAAAAGTACCACAACTTTAGTGCATTACGGGATCTTCATTATTTCTTATGCAGCAGAGAATTGACTATTATTGCACGTTATATCATTATTGTATTTCATTTAAAGAAAATTTAAATAGTCTTTTTTTAATTTTCTAATTATAATGAAAAACCGACAAAGCCTAAATTTAATTATTAGTATGTTATATTTAAGTAGTTTATTGTGATTATACATTCACAAGCACGAAAAACGGGCACCTTAAAATTTTGATGTTTTTTAAAGTTTCATATACAGGGTGGCGTCTCTCATACGCCGCGGAAGCTCCAACGAGAACGGTAGTTTATATCGAAATGAAATTTTGGCAGCATATGTAAGTTAAATGAAAGCATTTTTATAAAAATATATAGAATTATACAGGGTGACCCCCAAAAAAGTTACACATCAAAGTTGTGTTTTTTGTTTTTTATAATGGAACACCCGATATATTAATTGATTCTCGGATTCTAGGAAAAAAATAAAGGTAAGTTTTATTAAAGGAGCATATACCTAAAATCTAAAGATTTTGACATATTTCACATTTTGTGAAAATAAAGAGTAAATTTTAAATTTTGATAACAGTTTGCATTTTCGGCAAATTTCTGAGAATTTTTATTTGTTTTAACTGACACAAAATGATAACTAGTTGTTGAAGTTGGATTAATTAGACAGCTATGTTGAAGTAACGTCAGATATGTCACTAGCCACCTAGAACATGCTTTTAAAGGTGAACAATGTTCAATAATAATTTTGTCTCACCCTGTATAACTTTTTGGATCTAGTTTTAATTTGATTTAAAGTACAATAGTTAATTTAACTACATATTAGCCTATACCGGGTAAATTCCAATTTAAGTAGCTTTTATTGTAATTTAAAAATAATTGTTCTTTATTTCTAGAAAATGTTAAATATGTCAAAAACCTTACATTTTAGTCATATACTTCTCTAATAAAACTGACCTTTATTTTTCTTTAAGAATCAGAAAATCTATTAATATATAGGGTGTTCCATTACAAAAAACACAACTTTGATATGTAACTTTTTTGGGGACACCCTGTAGAACTCTCTATATTTTTAAAAAGTACTCTGAATTGACTTACATATGCTCACAAAATTTCAACATAAACTGTCGTTCTCCTTGGAGCCTCCGCGTCGTATGAGAGGCGCCACCCTGTATTGCAATCTAGTGAACCGATTTTGATGATCTACTGAACAAACAGTTTCTATTGAACTATTGACACATAACATTTCAAATTTATAAGTTCTAATTTTATAGCCTAATATCTATTTAGTCAACATATTTAATTTATGTCAATTATGATGACAGGTATTTATAATTTGTATTCCAAATATGTCCAGAACCATAACTCGTAGCGATTTTTACCAAGAGACAATTTTTACGTAAAAAAACTCTTAAATGTATATTTTACTCGGTAGTTTTATACAAAAACGGACAAAAAATGATTACTGTTCAAACAAGTTAAAAAATATTTAGGTGGCGCCCTTTACAAGTAGGAGTCATATTGACATCAACATCAAATTTCTCATGCCAAAAACTCCCAAACACCAATTTTTATCCAAATATTAACGTTACTTCGGAAATTATTTGGAAAAAATCAAAATAAAAATCTTCTACATTCTGTAACTCCGAAACTAAGCATTTTAGGACATACATTTATACGAACTTTTTTTCATATTTTTATCTGCAGAATATGCGGCCAAAGTTTCCGGAATACGGTTCGGATAACCCTGTATATTATTGTATTATATTTTATTTTTAGATACTGTGACTTAAAGAAAAGAAAATTACGACAAACTGATATATTTGTCGAAGATGCCAATACACCTAATGGCCATAATAATCACCCTGTACATAGTTGATGTGAGAAAAGAAATAAAAACGATTTAGTTTAATAGCCCTTACGTACATTCACGCTTCAGTAAAAATCATTTAAATACCGACAAAAGAAAGTACATAAAATCAACAACAATTTACGTCAATTTAAACATTTTCTTGGCCATCGGACTGCACCTAATCGTCCCAAAACGCTAAAAAAATAAATAACGTCCCCCCAGAAAAAAGTCTATGCCCAAAGAAACGCGATACCAAACTCAACATCGAAGAATATTTCAGTCCGACGCGACGCCGCGCAAGATATTGATAACTAGATGCAGTAATCGTGGGTGAAATATAAACATAAACAGCACTAATTTACGTGTAATGGGGAGCTAGTAATATCTCTATAACATAGGAAATGTGTACTTGGCGTTTCTTAGTGATTTTAGTGAGTGATTTAGATTAATTTAAAATAAATTTTGAATTAGAATGAATTAGATTAAATTTTTTGAGTTGTTTTAAAAAAATTATTAATTTTTCTACATTCATTTAAATTTTTATCTAAGAATTAACTAAACATCATATTAAAATATTAAAAATGTTTTCTAAAATTAAACTAACTTTTAAAAAAACTAGTTTTATGTTTCTTAAATATAAAAAATAATATCTATACTGATATATAAAATCCTTAAGTGACTGACACACTGATTAATCACAATCCTGCTCAAACCACTCAACGTAAGAAGCTCAATTTTGGCATACAGGTTGATTCTAGGGTGTAGAGGTTCGATAAGAAGGGATTTTTCGAAATTCCAGTTCCAAGGGGGTGAAACCACCCCTCAAATATTACAATATTTTTTTTATTGAAAAAACGGTCGTTTCCGAAAAAAACGCTTAAACCCGTATATTTTATTTTGTTTTTTTACATATTTTAAGATTTTTAAAAATGTATACAGGGTGTTTCGAAAAATTTGGTCATTGATTAATCACGATTCGTGATTTAAAGCGCTTGACGTAAAAAGCTGATTTTTGGAAAACGGATTGACTTTAGGGTGTAGAGGTTCGATAAGAAGGGATTTTTTGAAACTCGAATTCTAAGGGGGTGAAACCACCCCTCAAATATTAGGTGAGTTTTTTGGAAAAACTCTTAAACACGTATATTTTATTTTGTTGTTTTACATATTTTAAGATTTTTTATAAATTTATACAGGGTGTTTCATAAAACATGACCAGTGAGTAATCACGATTCTGCTTAAACTGCTTGACGTTTAAAGCTGATTTTTCGCAAACGGATTGACTGTGGGGTGTAGAGGTTCGATAAGGAGGGGTTTCTCGAATCTCAAATTCCAAGAGGGTGAAAACGCCCCTCAAATATTACAATATTTGTTATTTAAAAAACGGTTAGTCTTTGGGGAAAACGCTTGGACAAGCATAATTTGTTTGGTTTTGTTACATATTTTGAAATTTTTAAAAAAATCATACAGGGTGTTCCAAAAAGTTGCGTAATTGATTGACCACGATTCTGCTTAAACTGCTTGACGTAAAAAGCTTATTTTTGGTAAACGGATTTTTCGAAAGTCAAATTCCAACGAGATGAAACTACCCCTCAAATATTACCAAGTTATATAATAATATCGCCATATTGTTTTTTCTCATGCTGACATAAATGTGAGAATATTTTATCCAGTTTGTATGTTAATGGAAATTCTTGCTTTGCTTTATCACCATTACAAATGATTAATTCGACGCGAACGAAGTCGTGGGTACACGCTAGTTCATTCATAAAATACTTTTCTTATTTCAAATATTGTCTTTGAATTTTTTCTTCTACATTTGATTAAAAATTCGAAGTCCATTAAAAAATCATAAAAATCGTTGCTTATGTGAAAAAATAGAATTTATTTCATACCCTTTTTATTAGCTATTTAATTATGCCCTTTTTATTACCTATTTAATTTAGTACCTTCTATTTTAACCAGTTAAGTTTGAGTTTTTCTAAACTGGAATCGCAAAATGTGGAAGTAAGACTATCTCTACAGGGTGTTTCAAAAAACATGTGCCATCTCTCATGGGAAGGTTCCTCACGAAAAAATACTTTTCATATCAACATAGGTCCGATTTGGTTTTGTTTCATAGCTACAGGGGGTTAAAGTCTACATTTGTTTTTCGATTTATTAAAATTTTCTTCCAAGTGCTTTTAGTGGTTCGAATAAAATTTTGAGGATAAAAGATATTATAAATACTGCATATTTTAATGTTAAAAAAGTGACCACAGATTCATCAGGGACGTGCATATGGGTTATCACTGGAATATTTTTCGAGAAAAAATATGTGCGCCACTGACTTTTTTCTTTTGATAACAAAATTGTGTTTAATGCCAGTTAAAAGTTGTATCTTGATATTTTGTCGATTTTGATCTCCTTGATAAGATAAACGAAATTTTATTAATAGCAATTAATAAAAATAAAATTAAAACATTATTTATTTTACCTAATTTATTTTTAAATATTATCACTATTAGTTATTATTACTCTTAGTCCAACACACAGCAAATTCAAATAAAAATATAATGGTATTTAAAATAATTAGAAAAGACCTAATATTAAAAAATTTTAACATCCTGTTACTTTAAAACTTTGCATTTCCGTACCCATGTTTATGGGAACTTTTTTCATATTTTTTGATAAGGAATCGCAAGTTCATGATATTATTTTTTTTAAGTTGCTATTAGACCTAGATCAATGCAAATAAGTAAAATTGTGTTTACAAGAGACAACTTTTAATCGGATTAAACGAATTATACTATTTCGCTAACAAGAGAAAAAAAGTCATTTTTTTTGTTTAGAAAAATATTCCAGTCATAACCCATATGCACGTATTTGGAAGAAAATTATAATAAATCGAAAAAATATTAAGACTAACACCCTGTAGCTATGAAACAAAGCGGAATCGGACCTATGTTGATATGAAAAATAAATCTTATTTTTACGTGAGGAATCTCCCCACGAGAGATGGCACGTGTTTTTTGAAACGCCCTGTATAATATACGAAATGTCTACTTGGCGTTTTTTTTAGTGATTTTAGTGAGTGATTTAGCGATAATTAAATTTTTCATACAATATTTTTAAGTATTCGAAAAACAAGTTTTGTCCTATTTTGGCATTTTGCATTAAATTTTTGTACGTCTATTTCTTTTTAAAATTTAAATGAACAACATATTAAAATTATTTTCTAAAATTAAACTAACTTTTAAAAAAATATACTTTTAATTTCTATTAAATATGAAAAATAATATTCGTTCATAAAATGATTTTCCTTTTTTTAAATGTTGTATTTGTTAAATTATTTTACGTTTTGTTAAAATAAAATAGTTTTATTTTTATTGATTTTATTAAAATTAAAACTAAAAAAAGAGTTTTACTTTTAATCATCTGCTGATGTTAATATGGTTAGCAAAACGCTTGTCCGGTATTAAAAGTAAAGCGTTTTGGTGTATTGTGACAAATTAGTGGATTTTTTTGATTAGTGGTTTTATTTTGCTGTTATAACACCAAAGCTTCCAGCCTCCCATCTGTAAAATTTATTTAAAATTCAACTCTCCCATTAAAAAATAGTTTCTTATGTGAAAAAACAAATTTTTCTTCTATACATATAACCTTCTACTTTAACTAAATTCCATTTTTTCTAAAGTGGAATCACGCAAAATAATAATAATACATAATTATCCGCAGAGATAATTTTTTAGATAATAATCTAAAAAATATCCACAATTACCGTATATGTTGACAAATACAACAATTATCTACATTTAAATTGTGATATAAACAAAATTGAATTAAAATTACAAAATAAAAAATACTGGTTTTCTATTGACGTTATATAACTTAGATTAGCTGCGATTTGAAATATTTTAGAACAATAGCTAGTGCATAATATAATTCCGAAAATGCAACAGCAATTATTGTTCTTCCGTATATTTTACAAACGTTATATTAGCACTGAATTAAATAATTATTACGGTTAACAGTAATATTTGTGTTGATATTGTGTGGCCTGCATACAATTAAACCTAAATAAAATAACGAAATCCATCATTTTATGGGACGCTCTCGAATTCTAGTTTGATTAATAGAGATGTTTACAAAAAAAACTGACAAATACAGATAGGTACAGGATGGGTCATTGTACGCTTTTAAAGACGAAAACTAATATCGGTGTCTGGAGCTCAATTTTTATCAAAAACATGATAATGAAAACTGCACATCAATATCTGTCACCGTTTCGGAGTTACGGGGTGTTTTTCAAAAATGTGCAATTTAACAGTATTTTCGTGAAAACATTTCCAAAGCACCTTTTTACGTAGAATTAAGTATATATTTTTTAATTAATAATTTAAGAGTTATCAACAGAGTTCGCCACTTTTAACTAGTAGGCTTTTGACCCCTTAGACGAGGCACCGCCACAGAACGCTGAAATTATCAGTAAATTTTTGCAGCCAATTTCGAGAATAATTGAATAGCTGACCAAGATTCCAGCCGTTGGCCGTCGAGACCGCCGGACTTAGTGCCTGTTATCCTTAGTGGATTTTTATCTTTGAGAAAAAATAAAGGTTCTTATTTTTAAATTGCCCGTATAATCTAGACATAAATTAGAAGTACTTAGCCGTTACGCGAGGGTATCTTCTACCCCCCCTGAGTTAATTAATTCCGCGAGAAATGTCCAAAAACGGTCCCGTCTATCCATAACAGAAGACGGTCAACAGTCGAAAACCTGTAGCAAAATCTCATATCTTGGTTTGTATCTTTGGTTTGCTATTAATTTTTATTGTTATTAGATATAGTTTAAACGTGTTGATGTTAAATATTGTTTCTGCATCTCTCATTGCAAATATTATTTTTGATTTAATTGCTGCCCACAGCTACAATTTTTTGCATTACAGCTGGCGCCGTTCAAAGCCTACTTATTCAAAGTTGGCAAATTTTTAAAAACTCTATATCTCGAAAAGGAAAATATCAAGTATGTTACATTTTTGGAAAGGTAAAATTAAATTCTTTTCAATGAATTAAAAATGTATAAGGTGTCCCCTATAAAAAATAAAATTTTCTGTTAATAATTCTTAAATTATTAATTTAAAAAAAATTATATTTAAACCATTAAATTCTACGTAAAAAGGTGCTTTGAAAAAGTTCACAAAAATACACAATTTTTCATAGCAAAAAAGTTACAACGATTTTTTAGAGAGATGTCAATGTGCGGTTTTCACCATCATGTTTCTGATACAAATTGAGCCCCAGACACCGATATTAGTTTTCGTCTATCTCCTACAGAAAAGGGTGTTTCCCTTTAAAAGCGTCCAATTTGACCCACCCTGTACACAAGGTGTACAAGGCTGAGCGTGCATCAGAAGTTTCTAGAAAACTACAATATCTAGATAGGATATTTTTTGCCCACATCATTGTTACACAATGATATCTATCAATTAAAAATATTTTCAATATGGCGCATGGCGGCACTTCCAGAAATACCGGAAGTTGACAGCAACTTTCTTTTTTTTTAATTATCATAAATCATTTTTTTCAAATAGAAACCCACTTTTTTTGTTTCACCAGTGTGAAACCATTAAGTTTCACCAGTTAAACCGTTACTTTTGGATTATACATTCATGTTCCTATACTTAAAATAAATAGTTTTTAAGATATTTAAGTTTCAAAGCGTAATTTTTCTTGATTTTATCTAGCTTCAATTTATTGACAGTAAGTGCCAAACAATCACAATTTATTACCTTCTGTCAAAATACTAATTATTGGAATTTCGTATACTACAGGTCGGCATTTCTGGTCTTGGGTGCCGATTTTCGTGTGTACGAAGAGTACGGTCAACACGCTTATTAAAATAAGATGTACTGAATAAAGACAGAAGGCAAGTATTTTTCAAAGCGCATGGAATCTAACGTCAAATTAAGTGATTATGCAATAAATACTTCGTATTTTTGCTCTCTTCGACTTACTAGATTGCCATAGCGATTCACTCCTATACATGGAAACGCCGACCCAATGTTTCGCTTGCCAACAGGGTATATGATAAATACTGCTGCTAAAACTTTATAAAGTGCATTTTTAAAAATTTATCTCGTATTTTAGTGATATCTAATAGTTGAACTAATAACATACCATATGATCTAAAAAAAACGGTGCCCAAAGTTGGCTTGGAAATGATGATTCATAACATACCGATTTTTTAACAGTGACGTAATATGGCCAGATATATTGTTTTACATCGCTTGACGTTTAAAGTCATAGGCTGCTTGTTAAAAAATAGAAAAATATACGCTTTAAAACTAAATCTTAAATAACTTAAAAACTATTTGTTTTAGGTATAGGAAGATATATATAATCAAAAAGTAACGAATTCAAAAACCTTTTGTTTCACCCGTGACATTGATCACTAGTGAAATCAAAAAAAAGTCAAATCAGCCTTAAAAAGGGAAAATCAAATCAGCCTTATCACCAATTTGCCCATTAGGTTGTGTATTTTCCCAGTTCTTTGAATCAACGACAAGAATTTAAAAAAAATAAGTATTTAAAAAATATTTTTTCAGCTCTTGAACATTATCAGTAGTTTGTGCATTCAAAATCAAAACCACAGACCGTCCAGGCATACCAACAGACGAGACTTTCACATCAGAGAGGGTCCATCAGAGTTTGACTGGGAACATGGACTAAGGGAATCAACAATTCAAGCTCTACACAGAGAACACTTTGGGGATCATAACCTCAGGCACCTAATTTATTCTGCACCCCTATTAGGTAACATCTCGTCGTGTTATTATGCAATTTTTTTCAATTTTGAGGAATATTTCAAGACCACGATTCTAAGTTTCTGCATTAAAATTGCGTTTTATCTTTAATTTATTCTTATATTTTGTTTTATTCTCTGTTTATACAATGTTATAATAATACCGGGTACCTCTCAAAAGTGGCCCACCCCTATAACTTTTTTATTTTTTCAAATAAAACAACGAGATTTGGTATGTTAGTATATGACATAAATTGGGATTGATTGACGTATTCAATTGTTTTCGGTCACTTCCGGTTTCACCGGAAATGACAACTTTTGATTTTTAAATGGCACCCTCTGAATCGAATAACATATCATATGCCAATTTTTGACACAGTCACTCAAAAACAAATTCTATTTTAAATTTCAATCTAGAATGCCATGGCTGTGTTAAAAACACTAATTTTTAATCAAGGAGCCTTGGAAAAATAGATTTGATCGTCCAATATTTTTAGTGTCTTGTCCTGGCCGGTTAATAGATGCCCAAATCGTATTTTTAATCATATCTCAATCATATATTTGTAAAAAGCATTTTTTACGAATAATTTCATACCACACACTTGGTATTTTGAGTCAAATTGTCGTTATGAAACGCACGTTACAATTTCAAATAAACCACATGCCAAAATGTCAAAAGTTGACATATGATATGTCATTCGATTCAGAGTGTCATTTTCTATCGAAAGTAAAAAAATACCGAGGGTGCCATTTAAAAATCAAAAGTTGTAGTCATTTTCGGTGAAACCGGAAGTGACCGAAAACAATTGAATACGTCAATCAATCCTAATTTATGTCGTATACCAGCATACCAAATTTTGTTTTTTTTATCTGAAAAACGCACCCGGTATATTACTTATTTTCATGAAATATTTGAAAAATAATAAACTATTAAATTAGGGCTACTAAAACATTGTTTATTTCCTAAAACATTCCAAATTTGAGAACAATATTTCGTGCTGTTTAACAAAAAAAGTTCCAACCCCAATTGGTTGCTTCAAAAATGTGTGACCGGTAAAGCATGTTTCTTAATGTAATTAACATTCTATGTTTTATGTTATGTTCATATTCTCCGCAAAATTCTATAACTTTTTTATATACAATGTTTTATATCTAAAACTAGTAGTTTTGTTATATTTCATTTTTTTTTAAATAAATGTTTACCTATATTTTGAATACACATATACTATAACATCATAGTTGCCATGACAAAAAGTAATAATTATCAAACTTGGACATGTATCATAAGCAAGAACAAAAGTTGAATTTTAGTTTAATTTATTGTAGTAAGTATAGGTGGTAAATTTAAAGATATAGTAACGAATTTTCCTGAAAATGAATTAGTCAATATGACTGATATAACGGACAAACCAATAAAAAAATTATGTATGTATATGGCAGTAACGCTTATGGGACCAAGTACAAAAAATAGATAGAAAAGTGACCAACTGCAAGTTCTTAGTTCATGGCCATGGATATTTATTCTTAGAAAATTTCAGATAAACCTACATATCTAAAAAGGTTTCTAAAATATTTATTTTTCTAATTAATACACAAAATGTTCAATATATTTTTTGCAAAAATAAGCTTATTGGTATGTTTTAAGGGTTGAATTATATTACCATTTAAAATATTTGGATATATAAAAAATTCCCTATTTCTTATTAATACAAAACATCTAAAATGAACTTCATTATTTATCACTAGCATTTCTATAATATTTAATGCAAAAACATGATATGTCAAAATTTTAAGTCTTCAATCAGAATATAACAAATCAGTAGTATGTGTATCGTTCATAAGATTAATCGTTCATAAGATTAAATTAACCGATCAATAATTTAACAAGTTCAATCGAAAACGCAGTTACCATACTTAGTAAACCACCTACTTATCTATATAATACCAACATTAATTCAACTTAGGTAAACGAAACAGAGCCATTCCTTTCGGCGATATAGCCGTCCTAGCCAGAGGTCAACTCTACGCCAACTATGCCGGTTACATCTTCGTACAAGACCCCCACGAAAACGACTGCGACGATTGCTGGTCTTCGAACCGAACACCATGGCACCCGAGACAAAATGAACAACTGGTAGCTCTGTGGACTGTCAGAAGAATACGACACCGATACTTAGAAAGAGATCCCAAATTTGAAATTGAATATACTATCTCGCCGGTAAACTTAAGATACCACCACGAAAATTACATAAATCCCAATGGCGGTTTAAATTATAATCTTCCTGGACATATATTCGTATTGAGAAGTGGAGATAACCATCCAAATATAGATGGGCACTTTAATACAGACTATCAAAAGGATAGTGTGTTTATAGCCCAAACGCCTGATGGGACCAAGTATATTTTGCACAGTTTTCCTGCCTACTTAACATCAGAATCGCCCAGGTATGTAATGTCATAACTATACTATAACTAAGTATAATTAACCTGAAAAAGTCGCTTGGTGACTATTGCACAAATCAAAGCACATAGTAAACCAAAAAGTACACAAAACTGGAATTTCATTGCATCATGCAAACCTTATGCATTAACTTTAAACCTATTTTTGGTACAAGCATTAACAGCATTTAGATTATTCCTTTTTACAGTAATATCTGCAACTTAATTACAAATTTATTCCATAAATGTTTAAAACCTAATTCAAATAATCTTTAAAATATTCTACGGTAGATAATAGAGATGAAGAAAACTATCTTGCTTATATATTCCATAAATTTCTATATCAATAAATATTTTCCTACCCTCATTTTTCCACAATTATCTAGTTGACTACGACATTTCTAGATTAATGACATTTCCACCCTTAGAGATGGGCAAAACTGCGATTCTCCATTCGCAATTGAAACTGCGATTGCGATTTTAATATTTACCAAACCAAATTATTCGTAAAAAGATGCTTTTTCTAAATATGCCAATGAGCCACCCTCGTTCCATTTGAAAAAATTGAGATATGATTAAAAATACGATTTGGGCGTCTTTTAAAAAGCCGACGACAGGACAAGACGCGAAAAACAATAGACGATCAAATCAATTTTTCCAAGGCATCTTGACATTCTAAATTAAAATTTAAAATACGATTTTTTTAATTTAAAATATCAAAAGTTGCCATATGATATGCCATTCTATTCAGATTGTCATTTTATAAAGTAAAAAAATACCGAGAGTGTCATTTAAAAATCAAAAGTTGTAGTCATTTTCGGTAAAACAGAAAGTGACTAAAAACAACTGAATACGTCAATCAATCCTAATTTATGCCATATACTTACATATCAAATCTAGTTTTTTTACCTGAAAAAATAAAAGAGTTAAAGGGATTGAGTGGTTCTCTTGAAAAACACCCGGTATATTATGATCGTGGCACTAGAAAATAATACCTTCCCTATAAATAAATAATATCAGAGAGAAAATTCAATCGCAGTTTACTATAAAATGCTTCAATAAACCACAAAATTACATTCGCAACAATACCGCAAATCGCAACTCCTAAAAATTCAAACTCGCAGATAGAAATCACGGTCCCAGTCTCCCAGTTTACAAAATCACAATCGCAGCAAAATCGGAAATCGCAACAAAGTCGCAAATCGCAGATATTGTAATACTGGTTGCCTAAATTGAAACTCGCAAATAAAAGAAATCGCAATCGCAGTTTCCTATGAGAGCCAATCGCAGGTTGCGATTGCTATTTTAAAATCGCTGCGATTGAATCGCAGTTTGCGATTTCTTGCTCATCTCTATCCACCATAACTATAATCTGTCCAACGAAAGAACATACGACTATGAGACAGACTTCTGTATCATTTTATTTAAAAGATTGATTGTTTTTTCTGTCATTTTTTGCAATTTCGTCTGTCAAAATTATCTATTCTTCCGATAGACCGAACTATACTAATACTTCCTATATATTTTTTTCTATACTTATTATACACCTTTTTTAAACCTTTAGAAGACATTATAGCAAAACAAAATCACCAGCGTCTTCTACCACATCCAAACAAGATTCAGAAGATGAAAAGAAAATTTATGAAACATTACTGGAAATATTGCACAAAAAAACATCACCTGAAGTAGATAGGTATAATAAAAAGATACATGTAAATATTTTTTAAGTCAAACACAAAAAATTTTCAGGTTTACACCAACGCGTAAATCATCTACTACGCTTGCTACTACAACATTGCATAAAACTTCATCCGACAGAATTATACCGTTGACAGAATTGCAAACTCCGTTTACAACTAAATCAACCACAGGCTATGTCGAAGCCCATTCTCCATTAACCACAATATACACTACTCCTAAAAAAAGCAGTACCACTTCTCAAGTTGTTACATCTGAAAATTACCCCGTTAGCGTATCCCATTCTTATCCGACTACAGAATATCACAGTTCACCTAAATACGAAACTACTCGAAAGAGTGGTACCACGACACCACTTCTTACTTCACAATTAATCTCAACCACAACATCTGATCTATATCCTAATTATGTTACCACATCGCAAAAGTACGAATTAACCCCTATTAAAACAGAACCAATTTCTTCGCGTCTAACAACACAATTATACTCAAGTACGAAAACTCAAACAACGCCAAATCAGCAAACAACTAATTATTATAGACCAGCCACTGTGCAACAAACATACACAAATTCCCAAACTACAAGCAAACAATCTACTCCATATATAGTGTATACAAAACCAAGTACGTTTTCGACATATCAACCAACTCCCACTACTGCCTATGTAACACCCGCAAAAACAGGTATTATTCCACCAAAAACGACGTTACATTACTTTGTAGCTGAAGAACAACAGAAAACTACATTAGTGTCAGAAAAACCTTCGATAGCTACTGAACAGGAAAATGAAGAATATGAAGAAGCATTGTTTGATATTAAAGGGAAACCAACATATTCTACAACACCGATAAAAAGTACTTTTATTACGCAAATTCCTACGCAAGGTACGACAAAATCTTCAGAATTTACTAAAGAACAACCTTTAACTTACCTAACCAGAAAAACAACTACATCTTACCCTTCAACAGAACCAACAACTAAACTATATTTTAAGCCTGAAACTACTTACACAACAACTAAGGAGTATCAACGACCTAGTACATTTAATATACCAATAACTGTTTATGAACCAACTGAAACAGATGTTACATTAAAAGACACCAAAACTTCAACAATTCCTTATGGTACTCGATTTACAGAAACTATTTCGACTTCTTTTCAAAAACCTTTAACTAATACTGATCAGCCCACAACTAGTTTATTTAATCCTACAACTACTTATAGCAAAATTCCTATTTACACCACAAAGCTGTCTAAAATACCTACAACTGAAGTTGAAACAAGTGTAGGTTTAACAACTCTAATGAATATCAGGCAAAATAAAACTACAGAAATGACCTATTACACAGTTGAAGAAACAGAAGCTACAAAGGAAAGTACATTGACATCTCCTGATAATAGAAATACACCAACGCAAAGTGAAGATAGCACACCAATAAGAACCACGACACCTATTAAAAATGTTTATGAGCTTGAAACAACTCCAAAACATATAATTACTACAATCCAGTCTGATGGTCGTGTTTCGGTTCAAACAACACCTATTGAAGAAACAAGCACTGCAAAAATTTCGACCTCAAAGCGAAAACCTACTCTAACAACTGAAAAAAGTAATTTTCTTATCGACACAACATCGAAAAACGATTTCAAAATTCCACTTTATAAAAAACCTCCAAAAGATTACAGCGAAGACGACATATTCGGCTCGACAAGAAGCACTGTTGAAGTCTTCAGACCAACTATATCTAAAAAGTACACTAAATCCGACGTTGAGGAGGCACTATTCGATATCAAGAACCACAGAAAATCTAAAACTCTGAAAAGGAGAAAAAGTACTACCACCGAAAGCGCGCCTTCAAAAGTGGTTTATTCCGATTTTTTTGAAGCGTCGACAATTCCAACGGCCACCCAAATACCGCCAACGATGACCACACCAAATTTCATCCTGACCACATCAGCTGTTTATGCAAAACCCTCGAAAACTAGATTTTCAGTAAGAAGAAAAACTACCACAACAGAAATACCAGTTGTAACACTAGAAACTCTTCCTACAGCTACAGAAAGAGAAAATTCATTATTACGTAAAAATGATCAAATCGAACCAGTGACGCGTCAAAGTTATTTGACATCAATAAGTTTTGAGGTAAACAAGAGAAAGAAACTATTTGAAAATCAATTAAAGGAAAGAAATAAAGGCATATCATCCAAGACACCTAGTCTTAAACAATTAGAACAGCACAAGTATATCGAAGATGTTACCACAATTGCTAGTACAACCAAGCCTTTCACTAATGAAGTATTTGATAAACTTGCTTTAAGATTAGTTGCTGAAGCAAAAGGAATTGAATATCTCGAAAATGCAAGTACATTAAGCTCAGCTGGTGAAACACCGACTACTACAATTAGTTCCAGCACAAATTCAACAACAAAGAAAAAGAAATATACTAGAAGAAGAAGCTATGTCCCTAGATCAAAAAGGCCTGTAAGAAAAAAAATTGTAAAAACAGAAATAACATAAAACCTAAATAATACCGCTTTTGATTGAGTTAGTTATTTATTTAGTGTAATTTGTAAAATACTGTATACTATTAACTTTTAGAAATAAATAATACTATAAAATAGGTATTTAAAATGTTTTTATAATTTTAGTTAAAATATAATACACTTACCCGCTTCAGCTTCTTTAGCATATTTATAGTCAGCCTCTGGTTTCTCTGGGATGAATACTGAAAAAGAGTCAGGCAAAATTTCCCTTACTCTTTGATGATAGGAAAGCCTGACCAACAAAAATGTATTACTACTATATTTAATTCAAAGATTCTTTGGAAATTAATAACAAAAAAAAGGAACCCTGATAACATATAATTTCGTAAAGACCATTTCTAAAGCGAATAACAAATGAAAATCCAAATCAAAAAAATATATGAAAACACACTTCTCATTTAAAATAAATAAATAATTTGATTATTTTAAGCTATTTACTAGTTATCTACAGAAATATGGGGAGTGTAATTTAAAAAAACTTAAAACTTTATCCTAACTTTTTTATGTCACACCCTGTGTACAACAAAGTATTTTTAGAATATTCCCGTTTATAAACCATGCAACGTCTGTATAAAACTTTTTTCATATCTTTGACAACAACGACAATATTGGACTTCCTCGTAGTAATGAGCCACCCTGTATAGGAGACCCATACCTGTATTGTTCATCAGACCCATACCTGTACTGATTCATTTCTTAAAACAAGTGGAAAAATATCCTGACTTATTTCTAGGAATAAACCCACCACAAAGAAATATACCGGGTGTTTTTCAAAAGTTGCTCACCCCTATGACTTTTTATTTCTTCAAATAAGAAGACGAGATTTTTTAATGGTAACGGGGTACCATTCCTAACCTAACCTAACCCCTGGTATATTTTTACTTTTTTTGATAGAAAATTATATTCTAAATAGAATTACATCACATATCATGTTTTGAAATTCTCTCTTAAAAAAATTGTATTTTAAATTTCAATCTAGAGTATCACATAACGACAATTTAATCAAATTAATTATTCACGACATTAAATATAAACAACAAACACGACAATTTGACTCGAAATACCAAAAATTTGTGGTACCAAATTATTCGTAAATGTTTTTTTCCAAATATGCTATGAGCCACCTTTGTTCCATTTGAAAATATTGAGATATGATTAAAAGTACGATTTAGGCATCTTTTAACCGCCCAGGACAAGACACGTAAAACATTAAACAATCAAATCTATTTTTCCAAGGCTCCTTGATTAAAAATAGAGTTTTTAACACAGCCATGGCACACTCTAGATTAAAATTTAAAATACAATTTTGTAAGCGAAAATGTCGAAAGTTGATATATGAAATGTCATTCTATTCAGAGTGACATTTTCTATTGAATAAAGAAATAATACACCAAAGGTGCCATTTAAAAATCAAAAGTTGTAAAAGTGACCAAAAACAATTGAATACGTCAATCAATCCTAATTTGTCACATACTAACATATCAAATATCGTTTTTATCTGAAAAAATAAAAAAGTTATAGAGGTGAGCCACTTTTGAGACGCTCCCGGTATAGACAATTCTTTCCTGACTCGTTAGACACTTTATACAGGATATGCCGAGAAGTTGACGACAAATGGAAAATACTACTGAGATATTGAAAAGAAACGTTAATAAGGCATTTTAAATTCTTCACCATATCCAATAACAAAATAATTTTAACATAACATTTAAAACAAATCTGGCCTTTTTCGATATTATGTCTCCTAACTCCATTTTTCGCATATATACCAAAGAATACTATACAATAAAAAAAAACGGCGTCAGAGATAGCTTCGAAATGAACGTCATTGTCATTTTATATGTAAAATTATATGGAGAATATCGTAATTTCTAAGCTAACTTGTCGCCGCTTGTTTATCATATGGTACATCACAATAACAGTCGTTATATCATTTAATTCAGGGTGCATCCACACTATCCTAGAAAAAGGTGAACAGCGTATCGGCGTAACACCCTTGAATCGATTTCCAGTAATTCTATTGGCTGAAATTTTTGACAGATCAATTTGACAGATGAATTTATGTCATGATGATGATCCGCTAGGATAATGTGGATGCACCCTCAAGTAGATTGTATTTCCATCATTTTTAAATGTCATCTGTCGTAATCCTTCTCTCGCTGGACAAACTTTATTTATTTATATGATTTAGGTAAATGACATTTACCTCATACATTTCAGCATAACCTCTCTGATAAATTTAGGCTTGGGATGATCAGCATCCAAACTCAAACACACATCCCAATCCTCCCATCTCCACCTAAATTGGAAGTTACTGAGATGATAACCAAACCAGTTGACAAATCTAAAAATAAAACACTTTATCATATAGATTTACTTTATAAACAAGTACAAAAAGTCTACCTGTCAAAGCATGATACATTCATGGTATCGATTTTGTTAAAAAGCATTTCTGTTGCTAAAGCCAGCACTTGAGGCATTGTACTTGGCTGAAGTTTGCAAAGTTCTATCAAAATAGACCCATAACAAATTTCCAAATAGCGAGGAGTAGGCATATTGAATAGCTCAGCAAAAATTACTTCAATTATACAGTATTCTAACGGTATTTTTAGTTTGTATGGAAAATTCAATAAGTGAGCTGCACAATCCTTACGTTCCAGATGATACATTTCTAAAAAAATCAGTGCAATATAGAATTTGTTTGAATAAATAGAAATTAGGATAATTGTGATTTTATATTTTATTTCATTTTATTTCCCATTTAAAGTATAGGTACTTAAAATGTAATGTGTCACAGTTTTCAACTTAAATTATATACACTAAAATGAACGGTATACCGGGTGCGTCTCAAAAGTGGCTCACCCCTATGTTTTTATTTAAAATTGTAACATGCGGTTCATAACGATAAGTTGAGTCGTAATACCAAGTATGTGGTATCAAATTATTCGTAAAAAAATGCTTTTTCCAAATTTGCTAATGAGCCACCCTCGTTCCATTTGAAAAAATTGAGATATGATTAAAAATACGATTTGAACATCTTTTAACTGGCCAGACAAGACACTAAAAACATTAGACGATCAAATATATTTTTCCAAGGCTCCTTGATTAAAAATTAGCGTTTTTAACACAAGTCTAGATTGAAATTTAAAATACAATTTAGTTTTAAGGGGAAATCTCAATAGTTGACATATAATATGTCATTCTATTCAGAATGATATTTTCTATCCAATAAAGTAAAAAAATACCGAGGGTGCCGTTTAAAAATCAAAAGTTGTAGTCATTTCCGGTGAAACAGGAAGTGGCCGAAAAGAATTGAATACGTCAATCAATCCTAATTTATGTCATATACTAACATACCAAATCTCGTTTTTTATCTGAAAAAATAAAAAAGTATAGGGGTGAGCCACTTTTGAGACGCACCCGGTATACCCTACATTTTTTAAAATATAAAATTAATAGTATATAAAATTAATGTCCACTCTTTCACATGTATTCACACTGTATTTAATATCTTAATGAATGTAGTTTTATCTCATTTTATGTTTTGATAAATAATTTTTATATAAAAAAATTCAAAACACCAATTTTCAGTTTTATCATGATTATTTTCAGCTGCATCAGCACAGTAAACATTATTTATTGATATGCCATATAAACAATTCAATGGCTGCATTCAGCAGACGTCCTCGATTAGTAATCAATTACTGATCATGTGCTGAACGCTCCTGAAAATATCCAATGACTAATCGCCGTTTGGTAATCGGGCGCCATTTTTTCAATCGTTCCCAAAGAGCAATTTGTGAGACTAGGGCTAGGGATATGTTTATATAAAAAGTGTTAACAATATGACAGTCTCTGAATGGCACGCAAAATTATGATGAGAAGAGAATGATGTTGATGCATTTGTTATTATTTATTTCCTAGATAATTATAAATTGGTAAACAAAATTATTAGAGTAAAAATTAAAGTAAAAAAAATAAATATTTATTAAATACACAAACGTTATAAATGAAAACAATATAAATAAATGAAGTAATTTAAAAAAGTAAAAAACCATGTCAAAAAGTAAATAAAAACTAACGCCCTCTCCCGTTAATCGTAGAATTTAAAGAAAGGCATTCAAAAAAATTACAATCACTAAAGAACGATTACTAATCGTAAATTATCGATTACCAATCAGATTCTGTATGCTGAATGCAGCCATTGTGAAATTAATTAAAAGGTCTAAATCTATTTTTTTCTTACATATAGGTAGAATATTTAGGAGGGGAGTTAATCATCGCGACCTTACAGATCTATTGTGTGTTACATATATAGGTATGTCACCATCAATAACAAACGCTTACTAGTAAAAAGGCAAAACAAATCATATATTATGTTTTAAAAAATCAAAAATTTAATTTAATTAAATTATTTAATTAATGTCAATTCTGGATATAAAATGTGTGATCATTGGGCTGTGTTATGATACATAGTTTTTAACTAACTCTGTATATGTGTAAAAATATAGTTCAATCGCCCTATATATTTATGAAAATACTTTTAAAGACTAAAGAAAAAACTAGTTCACTTTGTAGTCTAAAGATGTTTTATATACCTCCTTTTTTAACCACTTAAACCAAATCAAACCAAACACATAAAAAAATAAGTCATATAACGGGTCTGTCTCGAAAGTGGCTCACCCTTATAACTTTTTTATTTTTCAAGATAAAATAACGATATTTGGTATGTTAGTATGACATAATATAGGATTGATTGACGTATTCAATTGTTTTTGGTCACTTCCTGTTTCACCGGAAATTACTACAACTTTTGAGGTATAAATGGCACCCTCGGAATTTTTTTACTTTATTCAATAGAAAATAACCTTAATCGAATGACATAACATATGTCAACTGTTGACATATTCGCTCAAAAACAAATTGTATTTTAAATTTCAATTTATAGTGCCATGGTTGTGTTAAAAACATCATTCTATTCAGAGTGTCATTTTCTATTGAATAAAGTAAAAAATACCGAGGGTGCCATTTAAAATCCAAAAGTTGTAATAATTTCTGGTGAAACCAAAAGTGACTGAAGACAATTGAATATGTTAATCAATCCTAATTTATGTCATATAAAAACATACCAAATCTCGTTTTTTTATCTGAAAAAATAAAAAAGTTATAGGGGTGAGCTACTTTTGAGATGCACCCCAGTATATTGCATTAACTAGAAAATAATATACTACATATTTTACATCACTTACTCACAATTGAATAATTTGTTACCTTACAAATGACAGCTCTTACCAATAATGGAATGTAGATGTTCTTCTATCAAAAATCTTTCAATAGAATGAGCTCCTGGTAGAATAGGACCTTCTGGGCAATCTGTATAATCAAATAATCGAAAAACCACCCAAGGCATAGGATATTTGTAACTATCATGATGAGGAGGCGGTAAAATTGAAGGCAAATTATGCTGCAATGCTTCACATAAAATTGAATCAAAAGCCAAATACGGACGAGGAATATGCTTCTCCGCCCACTCATCTTGTCTAAAATATAATTTTATTTAAAGGCAAGAATAATAAAAAATCAAGAACAATAAAAAATGTCATACTTCAATTTTCTTATTTGGGCCCACAAACAATCTAAATATTCTTCCTGTGGGTGAGGTGTGTCACTAGCCCAAACCCTCAAAGCATTATGGTGTTTTTTTGGCCTTTTATTCAAGAATATCTCAATTTGAACAAGTAAGTGTTCAAGAGCTTGTTCCTTTTTCTCAAATAGTTCTCTTCCTACCCATGGAAGTGTAGAAAGAATAGCAAAAATGTACCAATCTCTTCTCACCTAATAATATTTATGACACACCAGTTGATAAAATATATAAAACATAAAAAAAAATATTTATATTCACCTGTGGAACATGATCTTCATTGGCAGCACTAATCATGTTATCTAATAATTGTTGCAAAGAAGTGGCACTGATTACATGACAATTTACTAAATCTGCTAGAAATCTCAAAGAATATCTTGCAGCATCCCACTTACAACCTAAAATTTAAAAAGTACAATGAAAAATTGTAAATACTGAAACTATCATAATAGTAATCTTACTTTTTAAAGCCTCTTTAAAAGTTTTTACCATATATTCTACAAAGTCTCCACCAAAGTTAAAATTCTTAGCATTCAAGAGGCCCACTAGAGTGGTGTAAATAGTACATTTTTCAGGCATTCGAATAGCACAATCTGTTAATATTCTTAATATTTTCGCACGAAAAGTACTTAAATCAGCTTCTAGGACACTAGCCAATCCCTCCAGATTTGACTCTAATGATGATGTGCTTTTTTCTCCAACTCTCAATATAAGAGATTCTAACCGGTCTTCAATTTCTTGATTTTCAGATACTCTACGTCTCTTTCTATATGCTCTATCTAAAAAATAATTTAAAACCAGAGTATGCAAGAAAATCTTCATTGATTAAAGGAATAGTATATGGAATATGGACTTTTATTCAAAAATTGTATAACTAACCATATCCGTCCTCCTCTTCATGGGCCCTTCTTCTACTCATTTTCTTGGTGTATAGATATCTTTAGCAATAAACAATTTAATATCTGTTAATATTATACAACAAAAATTCTATAAATTAAAATAGTACAACAGGACAAACATAACCTAACAATAACCGCATCATCATAGCAATCATAGCATCATAAAATATCATATATAATTTGTTTTCTTAAGTTATGATCATATATATCTCTAGAGCATTCTCGGATCATATATAGTTTTGTAGACAAATCCATTATATATGTCTGAGAAGAGAGGCACTCCTAAACTTTTTTATTTATTGTTTTCATTGTTTTGCTCAGAGCTCAGAGTTTTCCTATTTATTTCATTATGGAGTAATCTTAATTTTTGTTGTTAATTTATGCGTAATATAAAATTGTTTTCGTTAGAAGTTGGAATTGAAACTAAACAAATATCTTTAAATAATCTTATAAAACGTTTATTCACTCAATTGAGTAAAAAATATATGTAAAAGAAAGACAAAAAATAAAAAGGAATAATACATTACAATATCATTGGTACGTGGACACATATAAAAAAGTAAAATTACCGAGATTTACAAACTAAAGACAAAAATCATTAGCAATATTATGAAAAAAACTTATTCTAAGAAAATGTCATCATCACTTTCAATTGTTAAATCTATGTTTAAAGATTCTTTTTCAATATTTGTAATTACAGCTTGTCCATTTTGTCTGGCGCCTCTTCCCTTCACCATCTTAGCTTTCTTTTTAAGAGTTATCAGTCCATTTTCCCGAGTCTTAATCTTCTTTTTCTTCCCTCCAAATGCTTCATTCTTTTTCATTTCATTTTCATCCCTCTTTTTAATTTTATACTCCTTATGAATTTCATCATACTTTTTTCTATATAACTGGACTTGTGATTTAGCAATATTCCACTCTACTATACAGTTAGGTGTTTGATTTTTTGTTGGATCTTCTACTGCAGAATATTCTGGTATTTTTAAGCTAAGATTTTTCATTACTTCCTCCAATACATCGTCCACATATGTATTTATTATTAAATCAGCCTTTTTATCCTAAAAAAATACAAAAATTATTTTTCTGACTGATATGTAGCTATTATACTGTATGATCAAAAAAAAAACGGCATCCCATTGGTTCAGAAATGAACATCAATGACAATTCCCATATAATTTTACACATAAAATGGCAGCAATCTTCATTTCATAGCCCTCACTGACGCCGTTTTTTTTTCGATCATATTGTATTAATTAATGGTTGGCATACATGTTTTGTTGGTTGTAAATTAACTATAACCATTTTTCCTCCATATTTTTTACACTTTAATGGCAAATTACCACTAGGAACAATTTGTAATGTAGTACCAAGGCATATATTAACATCAGCAATACTAAAAGAAAATAATATCAGTTCATCATCAAAAATGCCTTTGAGTATGATTTACCTTGATTGATAATCAGACATTGCCAGATCTCGAGCTGGTAAATCTGCTTCCCAATCTAAAATAGTGTCTCGTAACTTTCCCCTACATGTACGTCCTCTAACAGCTCTTTTACAAAATTCACCTAAATCCTTTTGCCCTACAGTGCTTGTTGCAGTGGGTCTTACAAACTGACTAAAATCATATTATTTGTCTCAAACTTTTATAGATATGTTAGGCACTTTTTATCATTACAAAAAAATTATTTTTTTTTCATAAAATATTAAAGCAAATTTAAATATTAACCTCTCACAAGTATCACACTGTCCAATAAACATATTGCCATGCAATTCAGCTAAATTTGTCCTAGGAACACCTGTTCGTAAATGAAGTCCATCAATATTTTGGCTTACAATATAATGCACATAATCTTTTTCTACTAAATATTTTAATGCCATATGAGTCCTTGTCGGAATAGCCTCATTGAATGATATATTTATTTCGGGTTTTTTGCCTTCTTTCTCCAATGTCCATACACCCTTTGGACCTCTGTTATAATTAAAGAACAAAGTTAAAAAATCTTTAGATATAAAAATAAAATAACTCGAATAATGACGACTAAAATACCTAAAGTCTGGAATTCCAGCTGCAGTACTAATACCAGCGCCTGTATGAACAACAACATGCTTAGCCTTCTGTAACCATTCAGTTAATAATAAACATTTATCTTTAACTTCCTCTCGGGAATGAAACGTCTATAAGCAGTTGAAAATTAATAAAAAATATGGTAAATTAACGTTTATAGAAAACTTACTTCTGGGACGCCAAGAACACCCTTATTTTCATAAGGGGAAAGTCCGTCGGCGTAATTGCAAGACATGATAAATCAATGCCTTATTAATCGTCACGTTAATAAGTACATTTTTAAAGAATATGATTTCAGGGTGCTGAAATATTTGAAATCTGGAAAATGAATGGGGAGAGAAGCGAAAGTACCTCTGTACTAAAGAAAATCAAAACTGTTGTTTATTGTTTGTCATTTGTCAGTTTGTCATGTGTAAAAAAGAAATGACAGCACAGATGTCAGCTGTGTAAGGGCTGTGTAGTTTTTGAAAATATATTTTTATCTTATATTATACTTATATTCAAACACATTATATATGATTATGAGTACTCTACGATCCCAAATCATATACCAAATTCCAACAGGGAACAGGGATTAGAGGAGGCATATGCTGTCCTCCATCTGTCCTCCATTCGCGAACTTCGAGTTCCGGGCTTTACACCCTGAGGCTACTCGAGAACGGTTCTGAAAGGAGCTGTGCGCGATAGCCTAGTGCCTCCATATGGCGCGGAACAGTTCTGGAACTTTATGACTCAATTGAATGGAGTGAGAGTATCGCGTTCTTGAACAGTTCAGAGCTGCTCAACTGCGTGAAAGGACAGCAATAGATGAGGCATAGTATGCATAGATAAAGAGGTAAATGATACCAGAGTAAGAACTTACCGTATTTTGTTTCCGGTTTATTTACTTACCGGTAACTTGATCGTTCAATTATAAGTTATCAGTAGGTCTTTACCGGCAGAGACATTACCGGTTAATACCGGTGTGTTTACTGAATGCGCCGAATGTAAAGCTGGGAGGAATTAAAGATTACAAAAGTAAAAAAGCAAAAACACTAGCTTTATTAATCCCGTAAGAACATATGATCTAGGATTAAATCTATATTTTAACGAGTTTATCTCTAATACAATAAATATATACAGACCAAATCTATGCATTATTGCTGCCAATAAATAAATATTACAATCCATAATTTTAGCAATAATATATGACGCTCTAAATATTAAATTATTACAAGTACAATTAAGTAATCAACTTATGTAGAAGACTCGTTCCTTCGTTGGTACTGTGTAGTTGTAGACTTCCGCTTTGCATTGCTCAGGAGCGTCTCAATGTCACTCGGAGCTGCTGGTTTAATTGTAGCATTTAAAAAAGGCTGTCCCGGGTTTTTCATTATGACTTGTCCATTCTTAACTTCCAAAATTCCTGTTCAAAAAATCCTTTTAATATACATATATATAATATTTTTTAAATTAAAAATGAGAAGTTTGAAAACATTTAAAACAAAAAGAAGAAACAGATAGAGAAGAAATAGATATTCAGGACACCTTGTCCTTCTTTCTGACCATATTTATATTGCAGAGTAACTATCAACAATATATAATTACAATATATTGGGTGCATCTCAAAAATGGCTAACCCCTATAACTTTTTTACTTTTTCAGAAAAAACGAGATTTATTATGTTAGTATATGACACAAATTAAGATTGTTTTTGGTCATTTCCTGTTTCACCGGAAATGACTAGAACGTTTGACTTTTAAATGGCACCCTCGGTATATTTCTACTTTATTTGATAGAAAATGACACTCTGAACAGAATGACATCATATGTTAAGTTTTGACATTTTCGCTTATAAAAAATTAAAATATGAATTTCAATCTAGAGTGCCTTTGTTAAAAACACTAATTTTTAATCAAAGCCCTTTGAAAAAATACATTTGACCATCTAATGTTTTTCGTACCTTGTCCTGTCCATTTAAAAGATGCCCAAATCGCATTTTTAACCATATCTCAATTTTTTCAAATGGAACAAGGGTGGCTCACTAGCATATTTGGAAAAAGCATTTTTTAAAAATAATTTGGTACCACTTGGTATTTCGAGTCAAATTGTCGTTATGAACCACATGTTACAATTTCAAATAAACCATATGCGAAAATGTCAAAAGTTGACATATGATATGTCATTCTATTCAGAGGGTGCCATTTAAAAATCAAAAGTTGTAGTAATATCCGGTGAAACAGGAAGTGAGCAAAAACAATTGAATACGTCAATTAATTCTAATTTATGTTATATATTAACATACCAAATTTCGTTTTTTTATCTGAAGAAATAAAAAAGTTATAGGGGTGAGCTACTTTTGAGACGCACTCGGTATTATACTACTACATTATATATATATATATATATATATATATATATATATATATATATATATATTATATACTACTACAACATTATTGTTAAGTTGTTATAACAACTTACAAATAATGTTGTAGAAACGGCATAGTTATAGAAATTACATATTTGATTAAAAATGCAATACTTACCCATTTTTGCCATCTGTTTCATCTCATCCTTAGTCATCAGATATTTCTGTACTTTAACCACTTTGTCACCAACTTTCACGTTCGCAGGTTTTTTTGACGGCAATTTACTCAAACTATGTGGAACAGGTTCAGTTTCAAAATCTGAAAATAGTTTGATATTGGATGGTTTTTCATCAATTTCATCCAGCGATATTGCTGTATTCAGAGTTTCATCTTGTATTTCAATTGTTGGAATCTTGCGTTGCAGTGGACGTTTCCTTTCATATACCTAAATTAAAGAATAACAATCAATAAATAATTGTATTTAAAACCAAATTGAGTAAGTTCGAATATAAAAAAGTGACGGCACAAATACGAAAAATCTACTACATATATGGAATTTCTATAGGATTGGTGCATTTCAGTTGATTTCAACAAATTGCGACAGCAGCGCTTCAACGGAAGAAATCACAAATGATCAGTATATATTTCATGTCGCCGTCCCGGTTACAGTTCGTGTTGATCGCATTAAAATAATATTGACATCGTAAAAAGTATTTTAGTTTTTTGCTAGTGCAGTCAGTGAGACTATAAAACACTCAGGTACGAGGTTTGTGTGATGTAACGCTGTTTCTCGTAGCAAAAAATAAGTGAAGAAGAATTCGAACTAGGCGTTGTGTTGTGTTGTATCAATTTCAAAGGTTAATAAAATTGCAGAAAAAAAAACCGCGTAAAGGAGGGCGTAATTAGGGCGTTGTTAAAACACAACACGACGGACGCCTAGTTCGAATTCTATTTCACTTATTTTTTACTACCCGAAACAGCGTTACATCACACAAACCTCGTACCTGAGTGTTCTATAGTCTCAATTTGCACATTTTAAAATGGGAATAAATATTCGTCACAACAAACATCTAATATATCAACTTGTAGAGCAGGAAAAGTAGCAATAGGAATGTAAAATTTGTATTGTCATATCTTTTCAAATTGCCAGAAAAAGTAAAAACGAAATTGGGAAAATTCTGTTTTTCTCATCATTCACCTTTGTATTTCTTCTGGTTTCCCAGATACCAGTAGTGCCAGGGCTGAAAAAAATGTTTTTATGATTTTTAAACAAAACACGTTCCAACATATTCCTTCTTTATGGTTTAAAACAGTTCTTATTGTTATAAACAGAATTTTATCTCCAAAGTCCAGATAAACGAGTAATACCTACATAAAACACTTCTTGTTTTAAGCTACATATACTTGTGTGTAGTCATTGAAAATTAACAAGTAGGTTAGGTATTGCAAATAAGTAAAATAGTCGGCAAAATTTATAGATTAGAAACTTATAGATTTTTTAGAGAATTGATACTCCTACATGTAGCACAAAATAATAGGTTTAAGTAATTTTAAGTACTTTGTTTTTTAATAGAGTTAGGTACTTTGTATTAAAAACATATTTTAAATTAAAGTCCCCTTTTTGTTGCTTAAGCTAATCTGGATGGCCTATACTTTGTTTAGGCGGCATCCGAACCGCGATCCTCGGTCACTGTCAATGGCCTACCTATTGTTGCAGACCTGTGTGGACTCGGCCTAACCTAACTAATATGTCCCGCCCCCATATGACCTGGAATCGCATTAGGGTGCGTCCACACCATCCTAGAAAAAGCGGAACGGCGCGGCGCCGGCGTAACGACCTTGAATCGATTTCCAGCAATTCTATTGGCTGAAATTTTCGACAGATGAATTTGACAGATGAAATTTTTGACAGATGAATTTTACAGCCAATAGAATTACTGGAAATATATTCAAGGTCGTTACGCTGATACGCCGATCCGCTTTTTCTATGATGCACCCTTAAAGAAGACACCGTAATGGTTCATTGAACATTCGAGAACAATCGAGTTCCACTGGAATGGAGGCATACATACGAGAACATTCTAAACCTTCTCTATGCACCTAATGAACTAATCGAGAACCGTTTAGCTGTGGGTATATAACCCGAGGTCTGTGCAAAGGAGGACAGAAACAAATAGACGCGTACAGTTGCCGTGCTAAATTCAAAATAAATTCCTTTTAGATAAATAGTAAATAAGTTGTAAATAGTTCTTTAAGTAGTTTTATCGTTATTGTGTTGTTACTTAGTGTAAAATAAATTGTGTTTAAATAAATTAGACATTCTATCCACACGGAACCGACGAAAAACGTAACACTACCACTATCAATGTGTATTGAACAAAGTGAAAAGAGCAAAAAATCCCCCATACATATTAAATAAAGTATTTTATTATTTAATTAAGTAACAAACACCATCACATTTTTCTCTCTCTGACTTACAAGATCTCCATAATGGTTCACTCCTATACGTATCGAAAAATCGCATGATATGATCATCATGAAAAATATGTGATCAGAGAAAGCAACAAGTCATACCAACTTTTTATAAAATTCTTCAACTCAAAACATCCAAATATTGTAGCATATCTTACCTTAGCACCTTCCAGCCTCACTACCGGCTTAATGTCATGTTTATCCCTATTACCATCACCATCATTATCATCAATATCCCGACTTAACTCATCTTCGGTTCGGTTTTCTTCAACTGACGGCCTAGACGGGACTAGTTCCGGATTATCTATGCTTGTTATATGATATTCAGCTACCTGAAATAATATATAGAATATTTGCACCAAAAAATAAATTAAAAAAATTACTTCTCCCTCATTTTCGTCCTCGTCGAACGTATTATATTCTTCATAATCGGAAAAGGTCATACTACTCCTATTAACTTCTGAAATAACCTCTTGTTCTATCTGTTCTTCGTATTCCATAACGGCGTGTGTCAACTGATGCGTCTCCAACTGTTCTTCAGATTCAAAACTGTAGTCACAGTTTTCGCATGGATATGGTAATCCTTGGAGGTGTGTGGTTATATGTTCCTTCACTGCATTGGCTGATTTAAAAGAGGTATTACATATGACACACCTATGAAAACAATATTAATAAAACAATCTAAATGTAATTTTTAAAACTTTTGAATAACTAGATTAAGAAAGGAACATATCAACAAACTTAGGGCGAACACGATGGGGGATAATATGGCTGACTTATTTAATAAGATAGGCTTAATCAGATACGCTACTGAAACACTAAAAATACAAGAAAAAATACCGAGCGCGTCTCAAAAATGGCTATAAGTTTTTTATTTTTTCAGATAACAAAACAATATTTTGTATGTTAGTATATGACATAAATTAGAATTTATTGACGTATTCAATTGTTTTTGATCACTTCCTGTTTCACCGGAAATGACTACAACTTTTCATTTTTAAATGACACCCTCTGTATTTTATTAGTTTATTTGATAGAAAATGACATTCTGAATAGAATGACATGTCATATGTCAACTTTTGACATTTTCGCATATTTATAGTTTATTTGAAATTGTAACATACCACTCATAACGACAATTGGACTCGTAATACCAAGTGTGTGGTACCAAATTATTCGTAAAAAAATGCTTTTTCCAAATATGCTAATGGGCCACCCTTGTTCCATTGGAAAAAATCGTGATATGATTAAAAATACGATCTGGGTGTCTTTTAACCGGCCAGGACAAGACACGAAAAACATTAGACGATCAAATCTATTTTTCCAAGGCTCCTTGATTAAAAATTAGTGTTTTACCACAGCCATGGCAGTTTAGATTGAAATTTAAAATACCATTTGATTTTAAGTGAAAACGTCAAAAGTCGACATATGATACGTCATTCTATTCAGAGTGTCATTTTCTATCGAATAAAGTAAAAAAATACCGAGGGTACCATTTAAAAATCAACAATTGTGGTCATTTCCGGTGAAACAGGAAGTGATCAAACAACAATCAATCCTAATTTATGTCATATACTAACATATCAAGTCTTGTTTTCTATCTGAAAAAATAAAAAAGTTATATGGGTAAGCCACTTTTGAGACGCACCCGGTATATAATTATTATATTCAATTCTAAGTGAATTCATAATTGATTACTTCACCACATGTAATGTACTACTTATTGACAAGCGAAAATCTGTTCTCTTATTTTTCTCGGTTATTAACTGAGATATACCGTACGTTGCACAACTGTTTTGCAGTCTTTTTCTGCAAAATAAAAACACTAAATCACCACAATACACCAAAACACTTTTACTTTTACACTGGACGGGCGTTTCGCTATCCGAAACGCGCGTCCAGTGTAAAAGTAAAAGTGTTTTGGTGTATTGTGGTGATTTAGTGTTTTTATTTTGCTGTGTAACACCAAAGGTTCCAACCCTCAACTGTAGTCTTTTTCTGGATTTTTTTCTTTTTTTTGTAATAAGGTTAATTTAAGTTTGAACATAATATCCTCCCAAATTTACTATAAACAAAAAATAACATAAAAGAAGCTAATAAATCCGCAAAATTACAAATCAAATACAAATGTGTCAATTGAGAAATATCAAACAAAATTGTCCAACATGGGGGGCATGATGTCATTTTACCTCGAATGCATACAGATAATATTAAGCTCCTTCCTTAGTCTTTTATTTAAAGTTATTAACCACAAATGTATACCTCAAATTTACCATACTGTGAATAGCACTATGGTTAATAAGGCTGTCTTTTCTTCTGAAAGACATACTGCAGATGTCGCATTTGTGTTGTAAAATTGTTTCTTCGACTTTCCTGCCTTGGCCAGCCGCATAATGACTACGCATGTGTCTTGTTAAGTGGTGACTTAACAGAAACGTTCTTCCACAAACCTGTAAAAATGTTCCAACAATTATAAGCAGTGTATTAAACCTACATTAGCTACAGGGTCCGGCAATAGTTCGTCGGGCATCTGTAGCTCCTAGAATAAAAAAACTTGAGAATTTTGTTTAAGTTCAAGCCTAAAGTATGTACAAAGACGTATTTCGGAAAATATTAAAATTTCCACAGGGCGGCTCAAAAAAGTGTGAGTGGATCGGGATGATTGTTTTTAAAAGGAACACCCTGTATGCTATTGCATTTTTGACTTCCTTTCAGAACACTTTACAGAAATACATCGCAAATTCCGTTTGCACTTAAACAAATTCCCAAGTTTTTAATTCTAGGAGCTACAGATGCCCGACGCATTATTGCCGGACCCTGTATATTACATACAGGGCGAGTCAAAACTAAACATCGAAATCTAACAAAACACCCTGAAATGAAAACTCCGTAAAAAATTATTCTGCAACCACTGTAACCGCTTTTTGTTATAGCTGGATGTCACTTTGAACTAGAGGTGGGAATTCTAGTTCCTTGGGAGTAACTAGTTCCTTAGTTCTAGTTCTTCCAGAGGAATAGTTCCTTGAACTAGGTCTTTAGTTCACATGGGTTGCGTTATAAGTCAGAACTATCCACAGTATGATCTGTATAATTTTTAAAATGTACGAAATATAACGAGACTTGTAAGTTTTATTGCAGAGAAAAACAAAAAAAATAAAAAAGAAACTCAAATCAGAGTTTAAAAAGCTATATCGTAAATCAATTGGAGCAAATAATAAAATACTTAATATTGGCACATGTGTAGGTGAAGATAAATGATACATATTAAGGTAAAGTTTCTCTCTTATTTTACGAAAAATTGCATTTTTTCTCGCTTCAAGCTTTTTGCCTAAAAATTCAGAATATCTACTTCGTTTTATAAGATATTTCTTAATTTAAGGGACCTAAAGTGAAACATTCTCATAAAATATTCAAAGAACAAATTAAAAACAGTATCCACGACAATTTTCTGTGGTAATTACGCCGGCCGCGGCAATAGACTAGGCCGGACCTGCGGACTGAATAGATTCTCGTGAACTAGTCTTTTAATAAGTTCCTCACAGTCCTTTCAGTGGGTAACATACGGCTGGCACTCCCCAATCCCGCCTAGCATCGGGCTACGATCGCGCTGGCCGATCCGTCGCCGTCGCATATTAGTATTTCGCAACAAGTCCTTTGAGAAACCGGGAACTAGTTCCTTTCGTTCCGGGGTCGGAGTAGTAAATTGGAACTAGTTCGTTCACGAACTACACACCTCTACTTTGAACGATAAACTAATAAAAAACTAGCAGAAGACGTAAAGTCGTGTATTTTATTTTGAAAAAAAAACGGAATAAATTATCTATGATATAAAATCCATCAGAAATTGCGGGGAAATATGCCTTGTTTAGATTTGACTCACATTGTATATAGCTAATAATTTAGCCTCTTTTAATATGAATAGTTTTTAAAAAGGCATAAGCATCAATAATTTGTAATTAAACTTATAGAAAATTTAATATAAAGCCCCGTTTACACATAACGTTTTACCTCTCAGTATTAAGGTACATTCAGGCTGAGAGCGTCGAGCGTCGCGGTTGCGTTGCGTCCGCCCCATTGAACTCGAACCCCGACGCTCAGCGGACGCTAGCGCAACGCCAAACGCGACGCTGTCTGCCTGAACGGTCTAATTTAAGTTAAGTGAGTTGATTCCATTTCGACACGCAAACGCGACGCGACGCTCGACGCTCTCAGCGTGAACGTACCTTTACTTGTTCAGTCAAACCTTATGAAGTAAATCCATTTGTGTAGACGAAAAAAGTTTTACTTGAACTGAACTAAGACGGTCTAGAGGACTAGGCTAAAACTGGCAGATAAAACATAATGTGTAAATGAAGTGGATGGACCTGAAAAACAGCTTGGTATACAGGGCGGTCTGAATTATATTCGGAAAACTTCGGCAGCATTTTTCATTTTATTTAGATTTTTTCCATATAATTTCTTAACTAAAGTCGATATTTGAATGAAAATTGGTGTCTAGGAGTTTTTTGACATGAAAAATTTGATTTCGATGTCAATATAACTCCTCTACTTGTAGGGGGAACCGCCTACCTGTTTTTAACTGATTTGAAGATTAATAACTTTTCGTCCGTGCCTGTATAAAACTACTCAGTAAAAAAATATACATTTCCGCCATTTCCTACGTCTAAAAGGTCTCTTGGTAAAAAATGCTACCAACTAATAATTCTCGAAATATTTGGAATCGAAATAATCAATAAACGTTATCATTAATATAATAAATTATTATTAGTTATAATAAATAAAAAATGTTTTTGTGCCAAAGGTTCAATAGAAACTGTTTCATCATAATTTCTTCTAGAAGAAATTTGATTAATTTCTAAAAATAAAAAGTTCACAAATTTATAATTTTTGCCAAATATCTATCTAAACAACATTTTATAAATAAAATGTTGTTTAGTTAGATATAGTGTTTATAAATAAAATGTTGTTTAGATAGATATTTGAGACGCACCCGGTATTGACAAAAAACAAACGTGTTATTTATAAGGTGTGTTTTGTATGGGTGCGTCTCAAAAGCACAGTGTTTTGTATGGGTGCGTCTCAAAAGTGGCTCACTTCTATAACTTTTTTATTTTTTCAGATAAAACAACGATATTTGGTATAGTATATAACATAAATTGGGATTGATTGACGTATTCAATTGTTTGCGGTCACTACCGGTTTTACCGGAAATGACTACAACTTTTGATTTTTAAATGGCACCCTCTGTATTTTTTTACTTTATTCGATAGAAAATGACACTCTGAATCGAATGACATTATATGTCAACTTTTGACATTTTGGCATATGGTTTATTTGAAATTGTATCATGCGGTTCCAAAATACCAAGTGTGTGGTATCAAATTATTCGTAAAAAAATGCTTTTTCTAAATATGCTAATGAGCCACCCTTGTTCCATTTGAAAAAATTGAGATATGATTAAAAATACGAATTGGGCATCTTTTAACCGGTCAGGACACGACACTAAAAACATTAAACGATCAAGTCTATTTTTCCATGGCTCCTTGATTAAAAATTAGTGTTTTTAACACAGCCATGGCACTCTAAATTGAAATTTAAAATAGAATTTGTTTTTGAGTGACTATGTCAAAAATTGACATATGGTATGTCATTAAATTCAGAGTGTCATTTTCTATCGAATAAAGTAAAAAAATACCGAGGGTGCCATTTAAAAATCAAAAGTTGTAGTACTTTCCGGTGAAACCGGAAGTGACCGAAAACAATTGAATACGTCAATCATTCCCAATTTATGTGATATACTAACATACGAAATCTCGTTGTTTTATCTGAAAAAATAAAAAAGTAATAGGGGGTCAGTCACTTTTGAAACGCACCCGGTATATTGACATGTATTGATAATTTACATTCCAAATCTTGAGAACAGTTAGTCGTAGCCATTTTTACAAAGAGGCTTTTTCTACTTAGAAACGGCAGAAATGTATATTTTTTCACTCAGTAGTTTTATACAGGTACAGACGAAAATTTATTACTCTTCAAACCAGTTAAAAAATATGTAGATAGGTCCCCTACAAGTAGAAGTCATTTTAACATCGAAATCCAAATTTATCATGTAAAAAAACACCCAGACACCAATTTTCATCCAAATATTGACATTAGTTCAGAAATTATTAGGAAAAAATCGAAATAAAAATAAAACTTCTACAACCTGTATCTCTGAAAGGAAGCATTTTAGGACATAACGTTATACAAACTTTTTTACCTATTTTTATCGGTAGAATATACTACCGAAATTTCCCGAATAAAATTCGGACCACCCTGTATATTATGACTATGAGTTTTGGAATAGAAATTTGTGTCAAATTCACTAACTGAAAAACATAAGTTAAAAAATAAACTAAAATTTTAGTGTTAAAATATATTTCAATCTACTAAAATGCGCAGTATTATTTTCCGCTTATTTTACGCTAAAGATGGGAGTCAATATCTGAAATAGGAAATCTGATTTTTAGCTCTTTTTATAACACTTCAGAGTCACCCTGTACACAATACTTACTTTACAAGGATATGGCCTCAGTCCAGCATGGGTAGTTATATGTCTCGTTAATCTGAATTGGGAATTAAACGAATCATCACAATAGGTACACTTAAATGGCATGTCCTGGTTGTGAATTACTAGGTGACGTAACAGACCCTGTATATAAATAATAAGTTATACAATAATTGAAGACTTTTTAAGAAGAAGTAAATAATGTTCTAAGTGCGAAAATCATTATTTCGAGATAAATAACATTTTTTTGTTACATGAGAACATAGATCACAACTACACAATTTACCTCCATACAAAAGTGCTTCGTTTGTCCGTTAGAGGGCACCAGTAAAAAAATAAACCCAAAACGTTAATGAATGTAAAATGTATTTTATTTTTTTTAACCTTGTTATGAAGCATATTGTTAAATATTATTTGTGATATTAACACAAAATTCTATATTTCCGCCAACTAGACTGTTAACACATAGTAGATCACACAATAGATCTTTAAGGTCGCAGTGACTAACTCCCCTCCTAAACATTCCTAAAAACACATAGTAGATCTTATGCGCCTACATAGCTTGATGTGACAAGAAAGATTTTTTGGAAATTAGCTTCGGGTGCGCGGTGGCGTTTTTTCACAAGAGACAAAAAATACAGTAAATGCCAGAAGAGCTATTTTGGAAATAAAAAATTCTTAATTTTCTTAAAAAAATATTGTTACGGATTCCGTGGGTCCACTATTTAAACTCACGATAAAATACTTAACGAATTTATTTGTCTCACTCTGTACACACAACTTATACTATTTACAACACAATTTATGCAACTACTATTACTGTAACGGTATTTCGCGGTATTATCAAACTTCAGACTTCAGACTATCTTCAGACTGGTCCAACTGTCAAAGCGCGGGCCTTATATACCCCTGGCGATGGTTTCTGGAATTTTCTAAAGAATTCTGTAATTTTCTTTTACTTTCTGGCGAATTCGCCAGGTTACGCAACCAGTAATACACCTTGACCTTAATATTTTCTTTTACTTTCTGGCGAATTCGCCAGTTATGCAACCAGTAATACACCTTGACCTTAACATTGCCCCCTTCTCAAATTTGATCGTCCCGATCAAGGTTTCCTGTCTGGTATCTCTTCAATCGATCCAGATGAACTACTTTCATCTTACTTCTAGGGCTGCGTTGAATCCGGTACACAACATCATTTATCCTCTTGATGACTGTATAAGGATCTTCCCATGCTGGAGTTAACTTTGGGGACCTTCCTTTCTTGCGCTGTGGGTTATACAACCATACCCTATCGTCCTGTTGAAATCCCGTAGAATTAGCTCTGAGGTCGTAACGAGCTTTCATCCGATCACTGGCTAGCGCAATTTTACTTCTAACGGTCTGATGAATTTCCAATAACCTTTCCTTCAGTTCATCCGCGTAGTCCTCTACGTTCGTGGTGCTGTTGTCTGGTGATCCGAACACCAAGTCACAAGGCAACCGTAATTCTCGACCAAATAAAATCTTCGATGGTGAAAGTCCGGTGGTGTTGTGAACTGCACTTCTATATGCCATTAGGAATAGTGGTATATGCTGATCCCAATCTCTTTGATGTTCATCCACCATCTTCGAGAGATGTTCTTCAATGGTCTTATTGAATCTCTCGACCATCCCATCAGACTGAGGATGTAAAGCCGTTGTCCTAGTCTTGTGAATACCAAGCAGATCACACATCTTCTGAAATAGTCTTAACTCGAAGTTCCTTCCTTGGTCAGTGTGAAGCCCTAAGGGAATTCCAAATCTACTGAAGACATTATTGACTAATACTTCAGCTACAGTCGATGCTTCTTGGTTTGGAATGGCAAAAACTTCTGGCCATTTACTGAAATAATCCATCGCCACTAAAACGTACTTGTTGCCCTTGTGCGTTTCAGGGAATGGGCCTGCAATGTCAACAGCAATTCTTTCGAATGGAAATCCCACGTTATATTGTTTCATTTTTCCCCTAGATCGAGTGCTTGGTCCTTGGCTGGCTGCACAAGTTTTACATTGTCGACACCATTTCTTGACATCTTAGCAATAATCCACCCAGTAAAAACGATCTCTCAGCTTGCTCAAGGTCTTGTTTACTCAATGATTAAGATGGGCTCCAGTTTTACCACCGTGAATTTCTTCCAATACCTGGGTAACTTTCTTCCTTGGTACCAGTAACTGAGTTGTTACTGTCCTGCCATCCGTACTTTCCCACGTGCGCTTTAACAATCCATTCTCAATCACCAGTGAATTCCACTGAGCCCAGAGAGCTTTGAAAACCAGCCCCCTGTCCGCAATATCCCGCCACGGTGGTCTCTCGCCGTTACCTTCCTTGAGCCGTAGTATTGCTCCGATGTCTAGATCTTCCATTTGATCTTTCCTCAATTGTATCGTCGTCCACTGTTCATCAGTTCTAAGCTTAAAACTCCTTATCATGACAGTGCCTTCACGTTGTTCCGTTTTACAGCAGTGCTTACAATCGATTTGACAGGGTCTTCTGGATAAACCGTCTGCGTTACCATGCATCTTTCCAGCACGATGTTGGATGGTAAAGTGATACTGCTGGAGCTTCTCGAGCCATCGTGCTATTTGACCTTCAGGTTATTTCATCTCCATAAGCCACTTGAGAGCCGCATGATCTGTCCTAATTAAAAATTCTTGGCCATACAGATATTTATGGAAATGATCAACTGCCTTTACAATTGCTAGCAGCTCCTTCCGGGTAACGCAGTAATTCCTTTCTGGTTTGGATAGAACTCGACTGTAATATTCTATAACTCGTTCTTCGCCATCTTGCACTTGTGATAGCACTGCACCGATGCCGATGTTGCTGGCGTCGGTATCCAGGATATACTTCCCTTGTTGTTGTGGGTAGGTTAAAATAGGACTTGAACATAAAGCCGCCTTAAGTCTTCCAAAGGCTACATCACAATCGGTGTTCCATTCGTAGCCGACTTCATCACATGTAAGGTAAACCAAGCACGTTTTCCAAGTTAATCCTCTTAACACCACCTCCATGAGACGTTCGAAAGTGGCTGGAGCATTGCATAATCCAAACGGCATGACCTTGAATTGGTATAGTCCGTTTCCTGTAGAAAAAGCCGTCTTTTCTTTATCGCCCTCGTCCAGACCCCAACTTGCCAGTATCCACTCTTTAAGTCGAGAGTGGAGAACCAGCACGAACCTGCCAGAGTTGTTAATGTGTCATCTATACGTGGCAGTGGGTAGCTATCTTTCTTAGTGACGTCATTGAGCTTCCTACAGTCCACGCAGAATCGTGTACTACCATCTTTCTTCGTCACCAAAATAACAGTCCATAACCATGGACTTGATGATTCTTCGATTACTCCATCTTCTAACATCTTATCTACCATTGTCTCCATTTCTTGTTGTTTGGAAAGGGGCACCCTTCTAGGACGTTGTCGAATCGGCTGAGCATGACCAGTATTAATCCGGTGCTTCACAAAATCCGTTCTTCCACTGTTGTACTTCTCAAAAATACTGCCATGCTTTAGCAGAAACTGCTTAGCCTTCTGTTTCTCCTCAGGTGTTAGGTGATCCCATGGCTGTTCTAGATGTTTGAGTGTGTTCTGGGATGCCGTTGGTGTGACAGCTGACGACTCTTCATCACATCTGGTGACACTTCTTACAGGTTCGCAGATGGCTATCTTGTCACCTTTTCGAATCTTGACACAATTCGGGAAAACATTCGCAATTCTGATCGGTATATTCTTGTCGGTGTTAACTAATGACTTTCCTACTAAGTACCTATCTTGTTTGTTATCGCTACTTTGTACCAGTCCAACACAGCACCCAGCGATTTTCTCCACTTTACCGAATACGATCTTCTCGGTATTACCAGGTATCACCACAGTTTCCGCTGATCTGACATCCATTCTTCCTGGTCCCTCGTCTTTAGACAACATAAACTCTTCATTTGCGATATTCAGGATATTTCTCTGGTGATCGAACGAAAATCCATGTTGACGAATCACATCCATGCCCAAGATGAAGTCATCTTCAATATCTGCCACTAAGACGCTATGCTGAAACTTCAAATTTCCTAACTTCAGTTCGACGATAGCCTCTCCCCGTACAACGGCCATTTCCCCCGTAACTGTACGTAAACACACTCTTCTTCCCAGAGGCATCAGCTTCAATCCTTGCACTGAGTTAGCCCGCACCAACGATACCATAGCGCCAGTGTCCACTGTCATTCGGATTCTCCTACCATTGACCTTCCCGTCGATCACTAAACTGTCAGCGGTTCTTCCCAGACTCCTAATGGAAAAAATCCTGGGGGCTCTGTTCTCCCCAGTCAATACTCGCCCCTTAGTATTGACTGATTTTAGTTTTCCTGGTGCCTACGTTCTCTGGATGGTGAACGGGATCGCATTTGGACAAGGCAATCCCGTTTGATGTGGCCATTCCTGCCACATCTATAGCACCTTATTTCCTGGGATCTTCTATGGTTCTCTGTCTGGGTTTTGTTGCTACTCTTGTTCACTAGTAACTCACATAGTTTACTAAACATCTCCTCCAAACGTATGTGAGAACTTCCGGGCTGTTCCTCGACCGTTACAGATCTTATCTTCGGTCTTGGAATGGCGCTAAATGCAGCTTCTATTTCCAGCGCCCTGACCAGTGCTTCGCTGCTGGTAGAAAATCGGAATATTTGCAGTCCCTCTGCAATTCGATGTCCTTCAGCCCGCTGATAAAGCACTGAGCAGCGAGTTCCTCCCTAAATCCTTCCGGTGCTTCTGGATATGCTAGGTGTACCAGCTGACGTAAGTCTGCTTCAAATTCCTGCAGACTCTCTCCGGACCTCTGCAGGCGTGTCTTGACCTGGGCCTGGTAAAGTTGGCGTCGATGTTGGTCGCCATATTTTCTGTCCAGTGCAGCGACCAAAGTTTGGTATTCTTGCTGTTGGGCTGCAGGAATAGTTTGCAACAGTTCCAGGGCAGGGCCACGCAGCGCGATGACAAGTGCCGCTGCTTTCTCCTGGTCGGACCATCCGTTGGCAGCGGCGGCTGCTTCAAACTGGCGGTGGTACATCGTCCAGGTGGTCTGTCCATCGTAGGTCGGGGCTTTGAGGTTCGCAGTTCCATGAACGCCAGGTGTCCTTACTTGTACCTTGGTCTTCTGTAGGTCCATCCCTAATTTTTCTATCTTCTGCTGAAGGCGCTCCTCCAGATCTTCTACAGCTTCTTGGAAGTGGTTCTGTTGTTCCTGGCAACGTACTTCCAACATTGATTGTTGCTTTTTTTCCATTTTTTCGAAACTTTTCTTGATACGGTCCTGCTCTTCAAGTTTTTCTTCTTGTCGACGCACTTCAAAACCTTGTAAAATTTTCTCGATCCGGTCCTGTTCCTCTTGTCTTTCTTTTTGATGACACGCCTCTAAGCCTTCCAGAATTTTCTCAAGCCGGTCCTGTTCTTCTTGTTTTTCTTTCTTTTGACGCGCTTCTAAACCTTCTAAGATTTTTTCTTGATTTTCCATAAGTATTTTCAAAAGGTGGCATTGTTCCTCTTCTTTCTCTCTTTCTAATCGGGCTCGCTCTTCTTCTCGTTCTTTACGTAGCCTTTCTTGTTCTTCTGCCTTCTCTCTTCTCATATTTTCCATAAAATCGCCCAATAATTTGCTTACTTCCTCCATTTTCTTCGCTTGCTCCCTTGTACCAACCATAAAAATACTCTAATTCGGTCTAAAAATCTTCCAATCCACTTAATTTCTTCTTAAAATCCTCTTGAATCGCACTTCCGACACCAATTGTTACGGATTCCGTGAGTCCACTATTTAAATTCACGATAAAATACTTAACGAATTTATTTGTCTCACTCTGTACACACAACTTATACTATTTACAACACAATTTATGCAACTATTACTCTAACGGTATTTCGCGGTATTATCAAACTTCAGACTTCAGACTATCTTCAGACTGATCCAACTGTCAAAGCGCGGGCCTTATATACCCCCAGGCGATGGTTTCTGGAATTTTCTAAAGAATTCTGTAATTTTCTTTTACTTTCTGGCGAATTCGCCAGTAATACACCTTGACCTTAACAATATGTTTAACGGTTCTTAAAAAAACGTGTTTATTTTTTTAGTAAGTTTGATGCCCTCTAACAGACAAACGAAGCACTTTTGTATAAGAGGTAAATTGTTTGCAATGAACTTATTTTGATTCTAAAAGTACAAAGTAGTTCTATGTCCACGGAATATTGGGACACCTTGTATATGTTATTGGTTATGGAACTTAGGACATTTTACAAATAAAACATTGCAAACCGATTTTTTGGCACTTAGCGCATTATTTACTCCAAGTCTTCAATAATATTCTAAATAATAACAGATACAAAAAGTTTTATGATGAACTGGCCTTTATATGATTACAAATATACCAAACCAATCTTATTGAAAATATATTTAAAAAAAATATAATTAAAGCCTGTTTGATCACAAACATTTCTGATCATACGAAACTTGTGTATAGAGAGTAAACTATAGTTACCTGTTTAAAAACAAAACTTTTCTCACATTTTGTACAAACGAAAGCTTTCTTTTTATCGTGTTTTTTCATATGATTGTCTAGCGACTCTTGATTACCATAATTTTTGTCGCAATGTGGACAAGTAAATTTATCACAGTGCGTGAGTTCGTGTTTCGTGAGGAGCGGTTCAGTGCTAAAAAGTTTTAAACATACTGAACAAGAAAATGATTTATCTTGACAATGGTTCCTGCAATGTTGTGCCAAATCATATTTCCTAGAAAATATCGTTCAATAAAAATCTCTATTACTTAAATTATTTAATTTGGGATCTGGTAGATAGAGATATAAGCATAGTATAAGGAAACTAGTAGCTTTACTCCTTGTCAAATTATTTGTTCTTTTTCTGCCACTTTATATGACCTTGTTCTCGTGGTCTATAACTAGGCAAAGTATAGTTGTGGCACTCGCCATTGTTTCACAAAGATGTATTTAGGAAAATATGAGTTCACAATAAAATAAAATAAAAAATATTGATCATCCAGTAAAAATTTGCTTGAAAACAGAATATTTTCACATTTGGTGTAAGTAGTAATGATTCTTCTGTATCTGAAAATATTCTGATGGAAAGAAATGCGGAAAAAATATATGACAGATTTTTATATTATTATCTATTTCAAAGATTTTCTATAACTTTTTGTTAATTTAAAACAAGTTTAATTTTAATATTAATGTGTTTGTTTTGTAGTAATATATTGGTTAAGTGATTTTCATTGGATAACTAATACATTGAACAAAACATTGTACTAAATAATAAAATACCATATTTAAACTTCAATCATTGCTAATAAACATTACAGAAATTTCAAAAGAGAAAAGAAGCAAGAACAATGAGAAATAGCATCACTACTTTCTCACATAATAAAAGAATATTTTTTTAGTTATTGCTACCGAGTCTTGATGTCTCAAAAGAACCAGGAGTTTCCGGTTCCCTAGTTACCATATTATCAAGAAATTATGTTTTTTTAACTAAAAACTAAAAAAATTTCCAGATTTTTTTTTCAAAAAAAAAATTGCGCCGAGAAATCTTCATATTTCTGGGGCCAAAATATACTACCCCTAAAAAAATGTACACTTATTTAAGACTCGCCCTGTATAGGGCGATTCACGGTTATGGTACGTTACACCGTTTACGAAACCGGAGCTGTTTTTCGGAACCGGTAACTTCGGTACCATGCCTCTAATAGGAACCGGGATTTCCAGTTTTTTTCGGTAATTTTGCTACTAGCAATTTTTTTTTCAATGAACAGCAAGCAAGGGATGGTTGTCAAAAGTAAAATCGATAAAAAAATGAGGTTTAAATGAAAATAATATCAAATTATTAAGTAGTAATCAGTCATTAGAAAATTAACCCAGAAAGTTAACAAAAACATGATCACAAATGACTCTCCAAAAAAAACTCAAAGCACAATTTTTTGAATTATTACTACAACCAATAGCAGCACACAGTAATATGGCACTCATTTTTTGTCAATCCGTCTCTGTGCTGGGACGCAACGCTCGAACCTCGCAGATCGACCGACGGAACTCAACTGAAATGCTCTGCAATCTGCCGATACTCGACAGATTGACTCTCAAAAAAAAATCAAAGCACAATTGTTTGAATTATTACTACAACCAATAGCAGCACACCATAATAAAGCACTCATTTTTTGTCAATCCGTCTCTGTGCTAGGACGCAACGCTCGAACCTTGCAGATCGACGGACGGAACTCAACTGAAATGCTCTGCAATCTGCCGATACTCGACAGATTGACTCTCAAAAAAAAATCAAAGCACAATTGTTTGAATTATTACTATAACCAATAGCAGCACACTATAATAAAGCACTCATTTTTTGTCAATCCGTCTCTGTGCTAGGACGCAACGCTCGAACCTTGCAGATCGACGGACGGAACTCAACTGAAACGCTCTGCAATCTGCCGATACTCGAGAGATTGTAAAAACTGGCAGAAAATATTTGGGAGAGTGCAACTACTCTTTTCCTTCTACTATGATATAAGCATGTGGGGTTTTTATTATATTTTAAATTTTGTTTTTGACTATTTATGCAAAAAAAATAAGATTTAAGAAATATTAAAAGAAATGTATATAATCAAAAATCAACAGTGATGGGTCGTGGGTAAATACCCGATAAGAAGGTAAATTAAATTTGGTTATTTACATTTACCCATCGAGAAATATTATAGATATATGCCTGATATACACTCGGTATATTCCTGGTATGATACCGGGTACTTACTATGAGGTCGTCGGGAAATCCCCTTATAAAAGGTTTGTTCCAACCAGCATTTCGGGATCGTTTCGAAATCGTACTCGAATCGTTTTTTTTTTGCAATTTGCTAGCATGCGCGGACTTCGAATAGTTTCGTGACGGTGCAACAAGTATCAACGTTGGAATGCTTTGTGGACTGTTTTCGGGACTGTCAAAAGTGTCAACCCCCGTTCTCAGAACGACGACGTGTCGCTGGCGACACAGTTTGACGTTTGAAACAACCAATGAGAGCTGTACTAAATTTAAAATTGACAGCTGTTTGAATTTTGTACAAATCTGATTGGTTCCTTTGATGTGTCGCTGGCGACACTCGCTGTTCTGAGAACGAGGCTTCAAGCGTGCGTGTATCGATCGGTTTTTTACTTTTGTTTAGAATTTCATAACATAACCCTATTATTTTTGTTTGCAATTTGCAATAATAATAATTATTATTCTTGAAATGGAGAATCAAAATCCAGTAATTGTTGGTAAGTGTTTTCAACTGTATACTCACTAACTCACTTACCTATCCTCTCTTTTATGATTCTGTTATCCGTAGTTTCCTGTTATCTCTTTGCAGTGGTAGAATCTTTGAACATTATTTTATAAATAAAAAATTAATTAACATTTCCGAACGATTTAGTCCACACAAACTCACAAGCAAAAGTATAACGCACACGTATTCGAATTCGTAAAAAATAACCAAGACAGAAGCATCAGCCGGACGCCGGACCAGAGTCAGCTGTTAAAAATCGACAATCCCTGCCAATATGCTTTAATACGCAAGTCAACCCAAACAGTTCTCAATTTGGACCATGTACCGAAATTACCGTTCTGAAATCGTAACTAAACGATCCCAAGGTAGGTTGGTACGCAAATAGGATCGTCCGATAACCGTCAAATCTCGGTTGGAACACATTTGAATTACTGCGCACGAGCGTAATCGTTCGGTGACGGTTCTGCGGCGGGTTGGAACAAACCTAAAATTGTGTCAATACATGCTTTGGTTAATTTTTAAGAAAGAAATGAACTATTTGCGGTACCTCGTATATTTTACCTAATAATCGACCGTTCCCATACATTTCAGCGACCCTGTATATCAAAAACATTTAGCGTCATGCTTATATCATACTATCACCAGAGTTATCACCGTCAATATACTTACGTGTAAAATTTACTATCGCATGATGAACAAGAAAACTTTCTTATTCTTTCGTGATTCTTTAAATGCAATTCTAGGAGTTGTTTTAGAAGAAAACTTTTATCGCAAAGATCACAAGAATAAATACGTTTTTCATCGATATGCGTTTCAGCTGCTTCTACGTTATCACTCTCACCGTACACATCACCCTCGCTCTCTCTTGTATTATCTTCTTCATTGTTCAAATTAGAACCTCGACTCGATTCATCCTGTATACTACTTTCCGAAGGTGTTATGCATAAAGTAATAATTTCCGTGCCATCTTGCAACTTAACTCTTTTCGAATGTTCAGTGTTAGGTTCGGCGTCATTTTCAACAATTTTCACATCTTTTACGGGTAGAATTTTTTCGCCGCCCCTTTTTGTTACCTTGGGGACTTTAGGAAAGTCGGGTTTGACCAATCCACCCGTTCGAAAGAAATTCTAAAATTGTATAAATATACAGGGTAGTGTTATAACAAATATCGATTTTTAAACATTCCCGAATGACAAATACGAATATTAATTTGTTAAAAAAATATTTTACAAAAGATAATGGATATCATAATTAATAAAACAAAAGAACTTTTAAATGTTAATTGATTTCTAATAAAAACTAATTCTTGAATGTTATTAGTAGGTATTTTTATTTATACAAGTTGACCCAGGCTTCCAAAAAACTTCTAATGTGGTTTGTGAATTTTTTTTCAATTTTTTTTCAGAATATGCTATGGCACATTTAAAAAAAATTGTAAACATACAGGGCGATTCAAACATGTTCAAACTAAAGTTGTATATTTTTAAATGAAATACTATGAATTTTTTTAGTTCAGTTTATTTGTTATTAAATTACCATTTAAAAAATTCCATAATGGCATATTCTATACCGAGAGGTTTTAGAAATATAACCATTATAAACTAAATTTACTGCTTAAAGTACCGTATGATCGAAAAAAAATGGCGTCCAGTTGGCTTGGAAATGACGATCGATGACATTTCCCATATAATTTTACATATAAAATGACAGCGACCTTCATTTCATAGCCATCGCTGACGCCGTTTTTATTCGATCATACGGTACTATATTAATTATTGTGTATTCTTCAAAATTAACCAAAATGTTGTAATCTTGTTTCTCTACCAAAAGTAATTTTGTTTGATATATACAGGATTATGACTCCACTATTTTCCATGTAGTTTGTATCATAATATGGCATATTTAAAAAAAAATTGTAAACATACAGGGTGATCCAAACATGTTCAAACTTTTTTAATTCGTTTTTTAGATTTTTTTTAGTTCAGTTTATTTCTTATTACTTAAATTACCATTCCAAAAATTCCATAATGTCATATTCTAGACCGAGAGGTTTTAGAAATATAACCATTTTTAAACTAAATTTACTGCTTATTTAAAGCCCTCTCAAAGTTCTAAATTCGAAGAGTTTTAAAATTGTTTAACAGGAAGTACTGAATAATTGTGTATTCTTCAAAATTAACTGAAAAGTTGTATAGTAAACGCCACGAATGTTTGGGAGTGATTCATCGGTCGCTACCATGTGAAATAATCTGTTCAAGGTCACATAAAACTTAATTCCAGTGCCGTGGTCTTTCAAGTCATATAATAATCAATATATAATCTGTTGTAATTTGTTGTTTTAACTGTCAAAGTCTTGTCAAAACATATATTTGGTTATAAATATAAAATGGAATGCCCAATTGGTCGCAATGCAAGCACACCAATGGACTGACGCACAAAAACGAATCCATCAAAGAAACGCGATATAGTATTGTCTTTGTCAATCACGCTAACATTTTAGAATAAGTAGGAGGAGCGCAGGCAGATGATTAGACCGGGCCTTTAAAAACCTACGTCTGCGGTAAAAATTTACGTTTTTAATGTAAAAATGATAGCGCGCGTGTCGATTCTAACTTCATCAAGCGATGAATCACTCCCAAACATTCGTGGCGTTTACTCTAATCTTGTTTCTCTACTAAAAGTTGTAATTTTGATTGATATACCGGGTGCGTCTCAACAGTGGCTCACCTCTATAACTTTTTTATTTTTTTTTCAGATAAAAAAACGAGATTTGGTACCCAGTGAGCATTTTATTCCTTAAGGAAAATGATGACGTTGTTACGTTACCCGGTACCAGGCCCAACTTTTGCCTGATAAGAAAATGTTCCCTAAATGTGACAAAACTTTGCTCACTGGGATATGTTAGTATATGACATAAATTAGGATTGATCAACATATTCTATTGTTTTTGGTAACTTCCTATTTCGTCGGAAATGACCACAACTTTTGACTTTTAAATGGCACCCTCGTTTTTTTTTATTTTATTTGATAGAAAATGACTCTCTGAATAGAATGATATATCAAATGTCAACTTTTGACGTTTTCTCATTATTTGAAATTGAAACATGCGGTTTATAACGACAACTTGACTCGAAATACCAAATGTATGATACCAAATTATTCGTAAAAAAATGCTTTTTCCAAATATGCTAATGAGCAACCCTCGTTCCATTTGAAAAAATTGAGATATGATTAAAAATACGATTTGGGCATCTTTTAACTGGCCTTTTAAGGACAAGACACGAAAAACGATCAAATCTATTTTTCCAAGACTCCTTGATTAAAAATTATTGTTTTTGACACAGCCATGGCACTCTAGATTGAAATTTAAAATTGGATTTTTGTTAAAGCAAAAATATCAAAAGTTGACATATTATGATATATCATTCTATTCAGAGTGTAATTTTCTATCAAATACCAAAGTAAAAAAATACCAAAGGTGCTATTTAAAAATCAAAAGTTGTAGTCATTTCCCGTGAAACAGCAGGTGACCAAAAACAATTGAATAGGTCAATCAATCCTAATTTAGGTCATAAACTAACATACCAAATCTCGTTTTTTATCTGAAAAAAATTAAAAAGTTATAGGAGCAAAGCACTTTTGAGACGTAACCAGTATACAGGGCTATTTTCAATGTAGTTTGTATCATAATCAAACAAAGTTTATGGTATTAAAAACTTCCTATGCCTAAAATCGATACTTGAATGAAAAAATTGTGTTTTTTTTTTTGAAAATATATGACAAGATTTGACTTTTGCTGTTTATAACTTCAATAATTATATTATATTGTTAGTAAGTTGAGTAACCAAGCTACCTAGAGCCAGTGTTCGGAAAACTACATGTTACTTTTAAAAACTACATAAACTACCTACATTACATGAAGTTAAATGTAGAGGGTGTAGTTTATGTAACCTATGTATGTAACTTTCAAATATCAAAGGTTTTGTGAGGTTTTCATAAGTTGAAGCTTTAGAAAAAACATAATGTATTTAAGAAAAAAGAAGAAATATGGCTTTAAATATAATATTCACATCATATTATTTAGACCCCTCATACAAAGGACCCGAAAATTATTCATATCAATACATAGTTTATTAATGTAGTTTTCATGTAGTTAATGAACGGGAAAATAAACTTTTTGAAGAAAAACTACACATAGTTAATCAGGTAAATTACATCTTAATCTCTCAATTACTGTATAAAAAGTACAGTATACCAAAAATACTATATAAAAAATCAATTTTAATACCTTGAGAGCATCATCTGCTTTTTTACAATTGCTTTTAAACACATAAGACTGGTTAGTTTGTTGTTTACATGTGTTACAAATTAATTGAGGAAGACCATCAGTAGGAAATACCTAAAATATATATTTATTAAAATAAATATAACTACTAATATTTTACGTAATTTAATAGTATAGGCTGTTATATATATTTGCTAAGACATAATTTTATAATTTATATTTACTTAAATATTATAAAATTTTAAGAAAAATAATATAATTTTATGGTGCCATTTAAACTTTTAAAAATTTATTTAACAAATTTCTATAATGTTGACAGTACCATAATTTGTTACAGAAAGCTAAATAATAACTCGTACTAAAGCTAATCGAACAGCAAACTTTTTTTTGCAGTAAATTTTGATTATTTGTTTCTTGAGACAAGATTCCAATACTACTTCAGCAATTTTACAGATTCCATACCTCAATAGAAATGCAAGACATAATCTGTACAGTTAATGGAATCATTTTCGGATCCTTTTGGTATATAGATGTTAATTCTTTCTCGTCACTAGTCAAACAGAACCGACAAATCTTCATATCTTGTAATTGCTTTTTGTTTTTCTCCATTTTTATAAGGCAAATTTTAATAAACAATGAACTTTTTTATGAAAGCGCCACAAACAATATGGTGGCCAACTTGGCTTGGCTTTTTATTTGGTTCGATGATCCACCGCTTGGGGGAGAGAATAAGTCGTTGAATAGTTACGTTAGAGGTCGCTCTATTTAGAAACATTAAAATTTTTATTATTTTTTATAAAAATGAATCCACAAATGTCTCATACAAATCTTATACAATATGGCAAAGTAAACAAAATTTACATTTAAAAATGTATATGTTAAAATATAGTTAAAAGCATTTAATACCCTCCCATATAACTGGTTGCCTACACAGAGAGAGAAATAGACAAACCAGAGATATAGAGTCAAATTTATCTTCCTGAAGTTCATATATGATCATTAATTTATATATGATTTACTCATATCTTAGGATTATGTAAAGTGGTCTGAAAAGAAGCCAAATATGCGATAATATTATAGATAATATACAGGGGTGATACAGGGTGTTCCATTTAAAAAAAAATCATCTCAAGCCGCTCACATTTTTTTGAACCACCCTATAGAAGTTAAAATATTTTCCCTAAATACATCCCAGAACGTACAGCTGGTTCAAAAAAAAATGAATACGACTCTTTACACATTTCTTTTTCGAATATTTGAGCAGTGTATATTTATGTGTCAAATATTTTGACATATTAAGGTTATTGTGATTATTGAATAAAGAACTTTGCTTTTGACCACCTTTTGAAGTGGCAAGTGGCAAATAAATTTTTCAGAATGTCAGCATGACATGAGTAGAGAAATAAGAGACTGGTATCATAGAATATACCGCCCGAAATAATAAAAATATGTTTTAAATCGTATTCAATTTTATTGGAACCAGCTGTACTTTCGGTTTGCACCTAAACAAAATTCCCAAGTTTTTTATTCTAGAAGCTACAGATGCCCGACGCACTATTGCCGGACCCTATACATATATTAGATTGTATGGCCTATGATTGTACGTTAATAAAAGACCAAAAGGCTATATTTTCTAGACTTTATTTAATACATTTTAAAGTTTTATAGTAAACGTGTCAATATCAGTTTCTTCCCCATAATCGAGAGGAATATCAACAAGTCCATTTTCATCAGCTTTATCTAATATGTTACATATAAGAGGCGACTCGACGCCTAAAATATATTGACAATATCGTGGCTCTAATAAATACAAGGATACAGTAGCAGGATTGTGTGTTTTTTCTAAACATTTCAATTTGACTTCTGTTTGTCTTGGTTCGCCAGTTTTATCACATAAGCTACCCTAAAATATCCAAAAAATTGTGATAAGTATTATAGGCAATGACTAAAGAATACATGGACTAGTAACACCCGGGACCAAATTGTTACCATACCACCAAACAGTGCTGTGGCATGTATTTTTCTTAACTTAGCTGATTGAAGAGATATTTATATTTTTGATAAATATTTTGACTACGCCTATGATGTATGCGGTGGTATCATACTAATTAATTACGAAAAAAACGTATTAAAATGTTAACAAAAGGTACAAAACTAATACCGACATATAGCACATATTAAGTACATACAATATCAGAAAAATAATTATCAAATTCAATAAGAAAACTAAGAAAACGCTAAAAACGTGGAGTGGACTGTTTATTTACCTATGAAACGAAACTCATGGCTCTTTCTTATTGCTGCAGCTTTTACACTTGAAAGCTGAACAACTAATTACCATTTTAATAAAGTTTATACAAAGTTCACTACACACAAACTATTAAAAATCGCTAAAATTGTCGCTGATGACATGACTCATTCGTTACAACCAAAAAAATGGCGTCTAATATCACAAATTCTGCTGCAGCCCTTATATGGGCGTTACATGTCCTTGTATTTTTTGTTATTGATTATGCGCGTTTCTATTAATAAAACTGAAGAATCTGGGATGTTTTAAACTCTTGATTATTTCTATATTTTAAAATTCATTTCAGGACCCTTTTCAAAAATATTTGTATAGCGAATAATTACCTCTGAATAAAAATGAGTAAGCTGTTTCCTTTCTCCAACTGGTTTGGGTCTTTTATGTGGGTGACGTTCAATCCAATCTAAATGTTTCTGTTTATTAAACTTTCCCAAATTAATTGCAATCTTACTTCCATCTTTTTCGATATGAAATTGTTCTATGGATTTCCCATAGCAGAATTCAAATTTCCACCAGCCTGTGCCTAAAAGAACCTCTTGTTTCATGGTCTTATTTATTACATTTATAACAAATAGATGTAAACACATAATGTAATTAAAAAATTACATTTTAATTTGTAAAAACTACTTGAACGTTTTGAAAACAGATTTGTGTGTTTGCAAACTTTACACTTAATAGCTTAGTTCAGTTTTTTCCTATTACCGATGCTGAGCCGTCCTAGAACTTTACAGCGCACGCGCAGATAAAAAACTGCTGCGTATAATTCTTCTGCGCAAGCGTATGACAGTTCTAGGACAGTTCAGAATTGATTCTGAAAAAACCCAAAGTAGCCTACTAAATTCTTAACAGATGCTTTTACCATTTTTGGTAGATGACTGAAAGACTGTCCAAAAAGATATAATAAAATAAAGTTATACCACAAAGTTAGAATAGAAAATACAACTATGAACATAATGAGACAATTTAATAATAATATACAGGTCCCGCAACAGTGCGTTGGAAATCTGTAGCTCCTAGAATAAAAAAACTTTATAATTTTGTTCAAGTGCATACCTAAAATATGTACTAGGATATATTTCAGGAAAATATTTTAACTTCTGTAGGGTGGCTCAAAAAAGTGTGATTGGATCCGGATAATTTTTTTAAAATGGAACACCTTGTATATTATTGCATTTTTGGCTTCCTTTCGGATTACTTTACATAATCCTAAAATATGACTTTTGGATAGTTTCAGAGATATTAATAAATAAATAAAAAATATATATTTTTCCACTTTAAGAAAATTATTAAAAATACAAGAACTGTCCTGAAATCAAAACTATGTTAGGTATTTACTTTAGATAGTTTGTATTTACTTTGCTATAAATATGGTAATCGCAAATCATACAGGATGTTCAAAATTCTACGCCAAACTTTCTAAAATATAAAATAATTTTTCTTCGTTTTTTTAAATGGAACACCCTGTATATTATTTTTTCCATAGATGGAGAAATAAAAGATGAACATTTTTTGTATTTAGAGTATTTCAAAGTTTCTAACCGTTTCGCAGATATTCGCGGTTTTAATATCACTGAAACCATTAATAACAAATCTATATATATTTACTCATATCTTAGGATTATGTAAAGTGATCTGAAAGGAAGCCAAAATGCAATAATATATAGGGTGTTCTATTTAAAAAAATCATCCAGATCAACTCACACTTTTTTCAGCCACCCTGTAGAAGTTAAAATATTTTCCTGAAATACATGCTGGTACATATTTTAGATATGCACTTAAACAAAATTCTTAAGTTTTTTATTCTAGGAGCTACAGATGCTCGACACACTATTGCCGGACCCTGCATGTAATAATTACCTCCATATAAACAATGCTTTCCTTGTAAAAACAACCTAACTGGAGTAGTATCCACAACTCTCTCAGAAACAAATTGTGGAGCTGTCTTACTATTTAAAGAATCTACATCATCAGGCTTAAATTGTATTAGTTCAACCTACAATAATTCATAACTACGTTAACAATTAAGATCTTCAAAAATAAAGTAGGCCTTACTTTTATCCTCTCCAATTCCGAGTTGCGTCTTAATTTTGCACTATCCTTTTTCAGTTTCAATAAATTGTAAGGTTGGTTTAAAGCACCATTCAAAGGCAAACAATTTATTTTTAATTCCCCTGTTTCCTTTGGTTTATATTTAGGATGGGTGCACAGAAGTGGTGTCAAAATAATTATTTCATATACACACGTGGACGTTTCTTTTAGATGATAGACCTCATGTTTGCCATGTATATAACAAACATAAATTACTTTAGTCAAACGTGGTTTATTAAAGTTTAAATCGCACGCAGTACCATTGTCCATTAAGACCTAGAAGACATTCATATTGGTGTTTTATTTAGATCATATTGCAAATATATTACTTCATAATATGGCAAATTAACATTATCTATCTTTTTCGTTGGAATAATTTTATCTGGTAGTAAATCATCCCGATTAAGTTTGGATTTTCTTAGATTATTTACTAAATCAGCTTCATCCCATTTTCCTAATATATATTCTTGTAATTTAACTTTTTTACCCTCTCGTTCCTCATGATATTGGCGAATATATTTACCATGGCATACCTCATATGTCCAATAACTTTCTAAACGGTATGAGCATGTACCTATAACAAATAATCCATAAATAATTAGATTTAAAAAGATTTCTAATATATATTACCTTGTGAAAATAATGGAACAATAAGTTCTAATGGACTAGGCCCTGAATATGACTCCTCTTTTTTCTCTTCTTTTTCAATGATATTTGGTAAAATGCATTTATATTTTTCTTGCATTGATGATGTGACTGTTATAGTTTCAGCATTAACGTCTGAATCTAAATTTGCATAACTACCTGGCCAATTTATATCAAATAAGATTGTATCATCAAAACCTTTAATATCACTTTGGATCGAATATTTTACAAATAAAAAAAACAATAAATAGGTATATGTCTGAATCTGGACCAACATTTTTTATTTGCTGATTAAAAGATAAATATCCAGTTTTTTACCAATATCACCAATAAGAATGCCTATGATTCTCCTATGATCTAGGAAAACACCTAGAAAATCAGAACCATATCTACAAAAGGGATGCTAATTTTAACCAGCTACCATCTACCCAACATCTACCATATAATTTAGATAGTGTCCTTTCTGTAGTCTGATTGAAAAGCACCAAAAAACACTCAAATTATCAAGTATCGGTAATCCGTACCTGTGCTGGCTGTGAGTGTGCTCTTGTTTTTAACACGTTATTATTCTGTATTGGTTCCAGATATTTTGATTGATTGTGAATTATGAGACTTGTATCTACATTATCATCATAAAGATCCCTCAAGCTACGTTATTCAAGAATTATTTCACGATCACAGTTCACGATCAAGATTCAAGATTATTCCCATTCCTAATTCCTAGAAGGGAATATAAATATTATTTGATATTATTCCCTTTATTATTCCCAATTTCTCTATATGATTCCCAGTTAGCGTAATATGTATTTTTTATATATGATTAAGCATATGAAATTCATAGATATGGAACCTTAGCAAGGAACATACAAGGAACAGACAAGGAAAGAAAGCGAAACAGTGGATAACTATGGTGGATAATATCGAGATAATATGTGATACCTAATATATGAAATATGATCCAGACAAGTTAGCTATTATTTTGTATGTAAAATCCTTGTAAAATCATTATGTAAAATCCTTTGGTAAAATCAATTAAAATCATATTATTATTTTACTTTGATATTTTACATATAAAATATCACTATCAGCGATTTTCGTTTCACAGCCATCACTGACGCCGTTTTTTTTTCGACTGTACGGTAATTCTGCGTTGTCAAAGGCGTTGTAAGAATTTCGCGTTTTTTTTAAATCAATTCTGACCGTCCTACAACGCTGATCGAGTTATTTATTAGATACTTATTAGAATCTATCGTTTTTTAAACTTAGGGTTTTAACTCTTATTTATTTTCTATTCAAATTTAGATTACTTTTGACTTTTCAGTTAGGATGACTGTTTAGACCAAAGGTTTAGACTGAAAAATTTTTATACAGAAATTATAAGGTTCCAAATTCAGACATAATAAATCTTTCTATATAGCATGGATATAGCATCCAATATTTAAACTTAATTTAATAATAAAAAATTAAATATATTGTATTATATATACAGGGTGAGTTTAAATATCTCTAAAATAAGTGCACATATTTTCAGGGCTGGTAGATCTCGACAAAAAAATATTTTCTCTTTACCGTTTTTCAAATCCAAATTAAATAAAAATATTGTTTATTTTTGCTTTGTAATTTGATAAGTTGATATATTCTGAAATTACTCAATTTATTTGTGGCATCGGATGATTTTTAATCAAAACCCACTAATTTTCTAAACCGCTTACTTTGTTATCTTTATTTTACACTGTTTACCACGTACTTTTCTGTTGTAAATACTCCTTGATTAACCTGAGCGCAGCAATAATGTATTATTTAAATAAGAGTGTGAAAAATTTAATAAGAAAAGGATTATATATTAAATTTAATAGGTGTTTCAGTACAGTAAGTTGATTAAATTTATTTCTAATAAAGTTTGGTTAGAATTGATGATTTTTGATATAATTTCATTAGGAATTAAAAACGGAAATCAAAGGTCAAACAATAAATTACGTGAAAGTTGGAAATGGCTCCAAACCGATTCTGTGTTTTCCTGGGGCTCTCGGTACCATTTGGAGCGACTTTAAACCACAAATCGAGGAATTAGATAAGGATAAATTTACGGTCATAGCTTGGGATCCGCCGGGGTACGGTTCCAGTAGGCCGCCAAACAGATTATTTAATTCAAAGTTTTACGACAATGATGCTGATATGGCTTTTCATTTTATGAAGGTAAAAAATGTGAAGGCACTGCCGTCTCTAATAGGTCAGCCCCGGCGCGGACTTTTGTTTACTTCATCAGCTGTTCATCGTTAGATATTCATATTTTGTCGGTTGATTTTTGGTATTGTTTGTTACTGTAGTGCAAGTGATGGACACTCTGTTTCTCATAAAAAAACACGAAATATTACACGTTTTGTTACCTAAGTGCTTTAACCTAAAAGTGCCCATAAGTTTTTTATTTATCATGATTTTTGAGTGTGTTTTTCAAGACTCGGTAATGGTGTGGATCCGGTGGCTGACCTTGAAACGAGTTTTTGCTACATATAGTCACAGACACTACGCATGCGCACATCTTCGATGTTGCCAGATTGCTAGTTATTTTGAAATTATTTTCAGTAGAAAACAAATATGTGCTTTTCAGTGTTTTTTTGTCAATATATACCGTATGATCGAAATAACGGCGTCCCGTTGGCTGGGAAATGATGATTGAGGACATTTCCCGTATAAAATAACAGCTATCTTCATTTCATAGTCATCGCTGACGCTATTTTTTTTTTCAATCATAGTACGCGGTATAGTATTTATATTATTATTTTAATATTTCGCACAACACGTGAACGCTTATTATGTATTTTCATTGTCAATAAAATGAAATATAAATAAAACTCTAGATTCTTATAATTAATCTAATTGCTCTAGATTATTATGCTACATTTAAAAAGTGCTTTATTAGAAATTCAGGAAATTAAAAGGGATATGTCCAAGTTTTTTCTTTTTTTAAATTTTTAAATGCTGTAGCTCCATGTCATGTTCATAATAGATTTTTTTAACATTCCATCAAAACTACGGAGGCCTTAAAAGGCTTTTTAGCCTCCGTAATTAAAATAATAGAATCAGCTTCAGCAACATTAACAGTTTTACCTTGTTTAATTCTGCTTATACATATATTGCATTAATTTTTCTGCTACCTTAAGATTTTTCTATTCTTACAACTAATTTATGTGATTTTCTTAGCATATATGATTTATAAACTATATTTTTCCTAATGGAAGGATGGAATAGGATATGCAAAATTAAGATATTTTAACATTTATTTTCCAGACAAAGCATAATATAGTATTAAGATTAAGACATAACAAATATTATAAGAAAGATCTTAATATTAATCACAAACTAAGTCTTAATTTGGTCTTGTATAAACCCAGGTATAAAACTAATATCAGATCAAAATTCAACGTTCACCATATTGTCAAGATTTCGCATTATAGGAAACAAGAAATTACAGTAAATTAAGAAAAGAACATCAAAGTACACGATATTAAATACTGTAATGTATTCTACGACACAAACCATCTCCCTTCTAAAGAGAAAAAGATAAAACATAAAGCTTATTTTAGTCTTATCAACACACTCTTCAATAAAATATATGTCTAAAATTGCTATTAATCCACTAACTTGATATTTTTAAGAAATTATGATACAAACATTATAATCAAAGTATATTATATTAGTAACATTATAGGTAAAATGTTACCTCTATCTCCCATTGACGTGTATTGTTCTATAAGACTCGTCATGGTAGCACTTCAAATTAAAACTATTGTTGCCTGTAAATAACTAGAAATTAAATAACTTGAAAGAAATAAAATAATTCTAATAAGTTTAAAACCATTAAGAAAAAATCCGTAAATGATAATTTTTAATTCTAAATTCTAATGTAAATATATAAATAAATGTTATTATTATTACAATTTTATATATTCATAATACTTTCATTTCACAATCTTCATTATCCTTCTTACCTTAATTTTTGATATCGAGATAAATTTGAAATTATAAAATTAATTATAGATTTTGTAAACATTTGTTTTTAACTAAAAATAACTCGAAAATAAACTGCAATTTGGCAACATCCACGATGTGCGCTTGCGTAGTATCGATGATCAAATGCAGCAAATATGGGCTTCAAGGTCAGCCACCGGATCCACACCTTTACCCAAGACTATGGCCCAAGACTCTAACAATTCATCAATAAAGCTTAAGTGGAGTGTGTTTATTGTGCTATACCTCATCTTTGTTGTATTCCTGGTTGCAAGGATAATTATACTAGGCAGCCTAAAGTGTCCGGAAGAGCAAGAATAGTGGGTACGAGTTATAAATCAAGACAATTATATTGAAAATATCTTTAATAAATTTAAAAATAATATTTTCCCAGGCTGCTGTATATTATGTATATTTCATGTAAACTACAAACCAAAAACCTGAGGAATAGTTACATTTTCCATGTATTCTGCAACATATTTATTAATCCGTAGTATATAAGTAGCGTGACGTCATACATCTCGCTCGTGGCTGTTCTAGTAGAGACGGCATTGGTGAAGGATAAAAAATGGTGTACAGAAGTGTACAGTATGGTCCAAAAACTTTATTCGAGTAGGCTGTGAACTGGGTGAAAGGTTGCTTTTTCCCAAAGTTTTGCGGCTTCTAAAGATTCTTACATTCACTCTGAACCAAATGCACCGAATATTTAAATATAGCAAAAAAATTTACTTGCCTGCTTTTTTCCCTTGACCCTTCATATACAGAGTTTAGTCTTAAATATGTGAAAATATTATCAGGGCTGGTAGATCTCGATAAGAGAAACAGATTTTCTCTTTATCGTTTTTCAAATAAGTCCATTGAAAGTTTCCATAAAAATGATTTTTGCTAAAATTTTGAGAACCACTGGACCTTTTCTGGGTTTTCTTTCTTGTAAATTTAATATACTACCTATGTTGCCATATTATCAGGAAATAGTTTTTTTTTAAAACCAAAGAAATTTCAAATTTTCAAAATTTTTTTTTCGACGAGCCTTAGCCTGTTTTAACGCTCGCGACCAATCCTCGGACCAATCAGTGTGCGTTGCGTTAGCCCATTTAATTTGCATTGAAGGCATCAGGGTGCAGCCACACTATCCTAAAAACGGCGTATCGGCGTAACGACCTTGAATCGATTTCCAGTAATTCTATTGGCTGAAATTTTTGACAGATGAATTTGACAGATAAAATTTCTGACATATGAATGTTTCAGCCAATAGAATTACTGGAAATCTATTCAAGGTCATTACGCCGATACGCCGTTTTTAGGATAGTGTGGCTGCACCCTCACATGAAAACAAATTTATACAGGGTGTCAAACATTTTTTTCTCTTTACCGTTTTTCAAATAAGTCCAAAATAACCGAGTTATTTTACTTTGAAAATTAAAAAAATATTTTTTTTTGCTTAAATTTTGAGAACCACTGGAATTTTTCTGGATTTTCTTTCATGTAAATTTAATCTACTACCTATGTTGCCATATTATCAAGAAATTATGTTTTTATCTTAAAACTAAAAAAAAATCCAAATTATCAAAATTTTTTTTTCGCAAATTATACCTCATAGGCGTGTTTCTGAGGCCGAAATATACTACCAGTTAAAATACCTGCACTTATTTCTAGGACACCCTGTATAGTCGTTTAGTTAAAAACATGTTAAAAACGTCGTTTTTTACTATAACTGTTTTGCTCTCTTTGTGTTCGTCCAAGCCAAAACAGTTGCTCTTTCTGTGTGCGACTAGCCTAATACCACAATGACAAAAAAATAAGATTAAAAAAGTTTATTTGGGGTATTGTAAAGGTGCGTTACTTTTTTGAAGGCGTTCATTATTAGAAAATATAGCTAAATCTACAGGGTCCGGCAATAGTGCGTCGGGCATCTGTAACTACTAGAATAAAAAACTTGAGAACTTTGTTTACGTGAAAACCTAAAGTATGCACGAGGGTGTATTTCGGGAAAATACTTTAACTTCTATAGGGTGGCTCAAAAAAGTGTGAGTGGATCGGGATGATTTTTTTTTTAAATGGATATTATTGCATTTTTGGCTTCTTCTCATATCGCTATACACAATTCTTAGATATGAGTGAATATATTTCGATAGTTTCACAGATATTAATAAATAAAAAAAATATATATATTCAGCCTTTCTTAAAAAATTATTAAAAATACAAGAACTGTCCTGAAACCAAAACTATATCAGGTATTTACTTTAGATGGTCCTATACTTACTCTTCTATAAAGATCGTGGTCTTAAATCATATAGAGTGTTTAGAATTCTACGCCAAACTTTCTAAAAATCTAATTTTTCTAAAAATAATTTTTCTTTCTTTTTTTAAATGGAACATCTAGAAGTTAAAATATTTTCCTGAAATACATCCTCGTACATACTTTAGGTTTGATTCAATTTCAACAAAATTCTCAAGTTTTTTTTATTCTAGGAGCTACAGATGCCCGACGCCCTATTGCCAGACGCTGTATAATAAGAAATAAGCTATAATATTAGCTAAATCAAGAGTTACATATTATTTTCAGAATGTACAGTGTGTCCCATTTTGGTTGAAATCATACGGTATCTCCGTTATTTGTGAAGATAGAAGGGTGCCAGGTTTGCACAAACCTGTGCCACTTTTTTGTCAAACAAAAGATGCCGCAAACAGAATTTTCATAGATCTCTTCGTTTCTGAGCTACAGGATCTTTTTGAAAATTTTGCAAATTGGGACACCCTCTGTATCTCTGTTACTATTAAAGCTATTGAGACGGTGAAAAATGTTTATTGTAGAACTTTCTACGTAGAATACAGTTGCGTAGCCTGTTATTCTACGTAAGAATATTTTTAAAGATATGAATTAAAGTTTTGTTTTCTTAAACGGAACACCCTGTATATTTATGAATTATATGATCTGGCTTGCCATTAGCTTCTCAAAAATATATATCACTATATTTATTTTCAATATTTACTGCAATATTTAAAAAAAATATATTAAAAGATCATATTTATTAGTAGGCCATGATTAATAATAATAATAATAAGAAGAAAATTTATTGTAATTTGTGTACATAGATTAGATACAAACAACAGAATTATAAAACACAATAAACCAAAATATAAAGAAAAGAAAAATATACAAATTACAAAAAGACTGGAAATACAGCATAACTGATAAAGTTCCAGCCTTGTTTAGCCCTTTTAATAAAAGAAACTAAAGAATTATTAAAAGTATACTGCTATCTGTCTCTTGTTTTATTTTGAGAGCCACTAATAAATTCTTTATATATTAGGGAAACTTAATTTGTAAATCTTGGAAACTATCGTATCGGAACTTTTAAATATTCCTGTAGCTAATTCACGTGAAATGTACTTTCAGCAAGATGGAACTCCCATCCCCTTTGTTAAATTATTATTTCTCAAATCAATAAATAATTGGAACAAATAGACCCATATGATGGCCTCCCTGAGTCCTGGATTTGTTCTTTCTCGATTTATGATTTTGGGGATTTTTGAAATATGAAATATATCGTGGCAACTAATGTCGAACACCTGGAAAATTATTTAATAATGCTAGCTTTTAGATATTTGCAAACCCATCCCGTTATAATAAATTCCGTTAAAAAAAAAAGAAAAATATATTCAGAGATTGAGTGGTGTAACAGTTCAAAAGTAAAATATATCAATTCCAAACAAAATTTTAATAAGTGTATGACTATTTTAGTAAATACCATTTTGATTTTTTGTTATTTATCACGGTCTACTAATAAGAAAATGATATACTTATTTTAAATATTGCCCTAAATAGTGAAAATAAATATAAAGTGATTAAGTTGTTCGCAGAAAAATAGATTACGCCGCTGTATTCTACGTAAAAATTCTACAAGAATCAGTTTTCACCTTCTCGATAACATCCATAATAATGGAGATACGGGGCCTGTCCCAAATTGCAAAATTTCCAAAAAGGCCCTATAGCTCAGAAACGAAGAGAGCTATGAAAATTTTGTTGACAGCATCTTCCGTTTGACAAAAAAGTAGGACAGGTTTGTGCAAACCGCATCCACCTATCTTTACTAATAACCGATCGAGATACCGTATGATTTCAATCAAAATGGGACACCCTGTACATAATATATAATATATGTGTACTATTGTATCTCATATAAATAACAAATAAAAATTGAAAATGTTCCTAATACCTACAGATTTCTTCATAATTTTAGATATCTAAGATAGAACTTTTTTGTAGAATTTAGGCATCTCCAAATTTTCTTTATTAGGTTGGAGTGACGGTGGCATATCTAGCTTAATATTGGCTGCAAAATATCCTGATAATGTTGATAAGCTAGTTGTATGGGGTGCCAACGCGTACGTTATTGCTGAAGACATTGAGGCTTTTGAAAGTAAGTTTAGTTTAGTAACTATTATTGATAGATAAACCTGGAATAACGAACTTTAACTAGTTTACTGGTATACTATAAGCATGTAGATTACAGATGCCATTAATTATGAAATCAAATATAGATCGAGTACTAACGAAATTATATTTGAGACACTAATTCTTATATCTTGATATAAAGGTCATTTTCTCCCTCTATAGTCTTGGTGCATTCTCCGCCGGTGCTGCCACCATCGGAGAATATCGTAAAAAACTAGTATATGTACAGGATGCTACAAATTCGAGGTACAAGCATTGGTATCTCGCAAACCGTAATAGATACGAAGATGTATATATATATATAAGTAACGACAGGAAAAAATAAAATTGATTTTCAAAAAAATCCGTTTTTTCCAAAAAACTCAGCAATCCTTGAAATTTTTAAAACTTTTTTGATGGCATCTTGATGAACATCCCAAGACGCAACTTTGTCCCAATTTAACCATTTTCGTATCTATTACGGTTTCCGAGATACCAATGCTCGTACCTCGAATTTGTAGCACCCTGTATATTAAAATCTCTTATATAATTTTATTATATTTCTCTACTGTAGTCTTAATCACATCGTGTGATTTTTTATTTCTTTTTATCCTTTATTGCAGAGATACTTTTTGAGATTGCTTATTTTCATAATTTAATATTTTTAGAAATTCGCGATATAAAGAAATGGTCCGAAAAAATGAAAAATCCTTTGATAAAGCTCTATACTGAAGATGGACTGCAAAAATTGTGGAATGATTGGTGTGACGCCATGCAAGATATCTACAAAAATGGGGGAGATATATGTAAAAGTCGCTTAAAAGACGTCAAAGCACCTACTTTGATACTTCATGGAAATAAAGATCCTGTTGTGCTTACAGAACATCCTCAATTCCTATTAAATCATATTAAAGACGCAAAGTAAGTATGTACTATTAATACACTTATAAAAAAATTAAAATAATTTTTTTTATATAGGCTACATACATATCCTGAGGGAAAACACAATATTCATCTAAAATATGCTGAAGATTTTAACAAAATTGTATCAGAATTTATTTTATCTTAGTATGTAAGAGTGGAATTACAACATATATTTTATATTTTCCTTTTATTAGATATAAAAGCAATATTACTTTGGTACATCATATTGACATAATATATTAACTGAATATTTTAAAACAAACAAGAAATCCTGCCTTTTACTTTAACTGCCACAGTTGGTAAATTGTTTCAACCATTTAATATTTGTGTAAGTTCCCCACTGCCAAGCAGTTCCTTTATAATATCTAAGCCTCCAATTAAATCTCCATTTACATATAATTGGGGATATGTAGGCCAATCTGAATAAGTCTTAAGGCCTTGTCGAACTTCTTCGTCTTGTAATATATCAAATGTTTCATAGGATACACTAAAATTCATACAAAATTGTTAAATAAGTCTAAAGTCTAGATAAGTAAAATTTACAAATATTACCCAGTATTATTAAGAATTTCAATAATTTGCCTACTAAATCCACATCTAGGTGTAACCCTATCACCCTTCATAAACAGCATTACTTTAGATTTATTAATTAAAGATTTTAATCTATTTTCTAAACTATCTTGCTTCGTCTCATTATCTCCAATATGAGTTTTCAGAGTTTCAATTAATTTTGACACGTCCGCTCCATCTACTCTATCAACTTTTTTATTTGATTGAAATAATAACACAGTAGGAACAGAATCAACATTATATTTTAAAGATACTTCGCTAAGTTCTTCAGCTAGGCAGGAATAAAACTTTACATTAATAAACTCGGACTTTTTTGCTAAAGTATCAAGTACATCATTTACTTGTAAACATTGTTCTGCCCAATCTGCTTGAAAATGAATTACACTGAGATTAGACTGCCTACAAAGTAACGTATTTGTAATATTAAACCCTTTTCTATTGATGTGCTTGTTACGTACTTTATGATATCTGAAAAAGCATCTTGATCTTTTATTAAAGTTGGCATATTTTCGCTTCTTGGCTAGATTATTATGCAATTATAGTAATATAACTAATGATATGATTATAGTTATAAAGAAAACTAAATTATTGATAAAAATCTTAAAAATCACACTGCAACCGTAACCAATAATTTTTTGATTTTTGATAAATGTCAAATGAAATGTCAGAGTTCAGTCCTCCTAGGTCAAATACGTTTTCCTAGGTCCTCCTCATCAGTCAGGGTTGGGACCAGGGTTCGGAAGTAGTTAATTAAGACGTAATTTACCTGATTAACTACGTGTAGTTTCTCTTCAGAAACTACTTCTTTTCCCGTTCATTAACTACATGAAAACTACGTTAATAAACTATGTATTGATATTATGAATAATTTTCCTTTGTATGAGGTGTAATAGAGGTAATATGATGTAAATATTATATTTAAAGCCATATTTCTTCTGGTTTCTTAAATACATTATGTGTTTTTAAAGCTTCAACTTATTAGAACCTCACCTCAAACCTTTGATATTTGAAAGTTACATACATAGGTTACATAAACTACATCCTCTACATAAACTACATCTAATGTAGTTTATGTAGTTTTTAAAAGTAACATGTAGTTTTCCGAACCCCTTGGTTGGGACTGTGGGTTGGAAACTTTAGCTGGTAGGAAAAAAAAGGAATATCTACTCTAAACCCAAGCTCTAGACCAATCTAGACTCTGGACTTTGCTCTAGATTCATCTCTACCTTATCTCTACACTCCATATAATCTACTCATTCTTGACAAGCTAAAAACTGTCGTCGCCGAATTTTTTGTTTTTTATTTAATCTAAAAAAAAATAAAAGTATTTTTTTCTGATGTCGTGGCGGATGCGCCAGGCTTCAACTAGTTTCAAAAATTAATTAAAAAGACGGAGAAAAGGTTGAACGCAGTTGAATAAAGTAAATAAGATCTACCTATGAGATCTACTGTTTGTTAAAAGGAAAGGTTGTAAAACTTTGCTACTATGAAATAAAAGGAGTAAAAACTAGGTCCAACAGTGCAGATAAATGTTAAACTTCCAAAAATAATATTTTTCGTTTACAAAGGGAAAGTATTTATTTTCGTATTAAATTTAACTTTTCAAAGATAACATACCAGTGTATTTAATTTTTATATTAAAAAAGACAGTTTATCTCTTAGATCATATGTATATAACTCTGTATAAACTGGGATTTTATAATCAGTTTATAGATATAAAATCCCAGATCTATGACCTTTTATATTGAAAGCATATTAAATAAATATACGGTATACCAAATATATAAATTGAAAACTATTAACCCTTAAACAATTTAAATTTCTTAAAATATTTTTGAATTTCTTCCTTTTGATATGGTTTAACCGCTAAACAAGTAGGTATGTTCTCAGGCTGTTCAATCCATAATTTATGTTTAATTGCATTTTCTTCAAGTTTGGTCTTCAAATGAATAAGGCTCTGTTCATCTGGCGCTTCTAATACTACTTTATGCATGTTATCCAAGTCTTTAAAATAGAGTTGTGTGTCTTCATCGTTATAATACAAATGTGTAACAGCAGCAACTGCATGGCATGCTTGTGTAATTAAAGCTCCCACCGGCCATTTTAAATCTTTAAGAATATCACCACGTATTACTACATATTGAACAAGAAATGCCATATTAAAGTAGTTTTGATACTAGTTATAATGTACAAAAAATACGGCACAAAGTAAACAAAAATAATAAAATTTGTAGGTTATGTTATTTTATTATTTGTCCATAGAACAAAACATGTATATTTTATTTGAATCATATATAAAATATATGTAATGATTAAATACTTCCTAGTTACTACATAAACGCAAAAAATCCATCCCTGGATTTGAATTTTAAATCCATAGATTACAAATGTGAGTTACATACATACATGTTCATCTGTGGTTGTAGGGTATTTTTTCTTTACTCTATGGATTTTTTGTATTTTTAAAAGGAATGTCAAATGTCAGATTTAAATAACCTTAAAATCTAAGAGTGAAAGGGAAATCTTTCAATTATTCTCATTTTGGGCACTTAAATTAACATTACTTTCTACTATATCTGATTAAGAATAATTTTTTTGCTTGTGTCCGTTGAACCAACAATATTTTTGGTAAGTACCCCTTTAACATATGGTTGCTTCGATTTAGATGTAGGTAAACTATTATTTTTTGTTATTTGTGTTGAAATTAAATTGCCATAAAACATAGTTGTATGCGATGTACCATGTTAAATTAATACGGTTTTACATAGTTAATATAGCTAAATTGGTATCAATCATTGCACCATCTTCATGTATTATGTAATTTAAAGAACCATGGAATAATGTTTTATTATTAAATATGTAATGGATTATTTTGTTGTAATATGTTTATTAGTCTTGAAGTCGTTTTCATATGCCTCATTTATGTTAATTTTAGTACAAATAACTCTTATAAGGATGTAAACAAAAGTAAATTTGAAACAAAATCTACCTGTTCGTATGGGTTGATACAAACACGATTTTCTGAAATGTTCTTAAATTATTAGTGGTATCCGTGTTATTTCCTCAGCAGAATTAGGAAAGACGAAAGGCTATTAATCTAGATTATTTCCTGAAATCCTATTCTTATGAAATGAAAGTCTTATCAATATAGTGTTAGTTGGTATTTAGAAAGTAGAATTAAAACTTATCAGGTGAGTTGTCCTGACGTTCATTTTCCATAACGAGAAACATAACATATCATGTATGTTAATGTTGAAAATATGTAACTGAAAAGTATGATTAGTTAGTACTTAAATAAAAATATCTTATAATCTCTTATAGGCAGATTAAAGGGTATATTCAGTCTACTTTTATTAAAGGTCTGAAGGGTTGTCTTGAAAGGATAAGTAAAACACACTTTTGTTTATTTTTAAACACAATTAGGGTTAATAAAAAAATTAATTCTTTAAAAACAAACCCTAAATGAATATTTCAACAAACTGAACTATATTTATCTGATACAGTATACAGTGATCAGAAAATTCCATTTTTTATCCTAAATAGATATGGACTTTATAGAATTTTCTTCGTTTTTCAGTTTCTTCTTTAACTTCGTTATGTGTTCAAATTCAATAGCAAAACAAAAATTAAAATAAAATATCAAAATAAAATTCAGTATAAATGGACAATAACATTGTAAATAAAATAGATAATCCATTGAACTAAATGTTGAGAATGAAGATCTGGTAATAAAAGGCATATAAATAAAGATATAGACTGGTTAAACAGGCGAGTAAATGGTAAAAAATGATAGAAACTAACAAAACAACCATACAATATACTGTTCAAAGATTTGAAGTTATTTTATTTCTAATATTAAAACTATTAAATTAATAATAAATAAAGCTTGTTGAATATCATTGTATTTAATCTGCAAATAGAAATTGCAAAAAATATTTATTAGATAATAATAACAAACTAATAATTATTTTTCAATACGTTTATGAAAAAATATTATAATTTAAGGTGCTTTATTAATTGGTAATCATTGGATGATCTACCGTTGTAAATTGGATTTTGTAATTTTAAACATCCTTTTTATTGTGAATACATAAAAACCATAATATTTATTTACATATTTTACAGTATTTTCATGTTTCTCTTATGAAATTTGAGGTAAATATTAGTCATAAATTAAATAAATATACTTACAGACTGTTTAGATAAACTAGTGGACAATATTTGATTTATTCTTATTTGGTTAAGAATATAGGGAGAGAAGGGAATATACAGGGTGGTCAGAACTGTATTCCGGAAACGTCAGCAGCATATTCTGCAGATAAAAATAAGTAAAAAACTTCGTATAAATGTAGTCCTAAAATTTTTAGGATATACACAGTTTAGTTTCGGAGATACAGGGTGTAGAGGTTTCATTTTTATTTCATACATTGTTTCACTTTTTTTTAAGTAACGTCAATATTTGGATGAAAATTGGTTTCTGGAAAAAATTGGTTTTTGATATGAGAAATTTGATTTTGATGTCAATATGACTCCTATTTGTTGGGGGCGCCACTTACATGTGTTAACTATTTTGAAGAGCAATAATTTTTCGTCTGTACCTGTATAAAACTACTGAGTAAAACAGTATACATTTGCGACGTTTTTTACGCAAAAAAGGTATCTTGGTGAAAATCGCTACGAATGATGGTTCTCGAGATAAATTTTTCTTCGAAAAAATGGTGATAAAACAGTTTTTGATGAACTTTTTCCACAAAAACATATTAAATTTATGATTTCGGTCTAATAACTATTTAGTCAACATGTTTAATTTAGGTCAATGATGACAGGTATTGATAATTTCGGTTCTAAATATCTTGAGAACCAATACTCGTAGCGATTTTTACCAATAGACCTTTTTTACGTTAAAAACTTCGTAAATTTATATTTTTTTACTCAGTAGTTTTATACAGGTACGGACCAAAAGTTATTACTCTTCAAACAAGGTGGCGCCCTCTACAAGTAGGAGCCATATTGACATCAAAATCAAAATTCTCCTGTCAAAAAACTCCCAGACACCAATTTTCATTCAAATATTGACGTTACTTCAGAAATTATTTGGAAAAAATCGAAATAAATATGAAACTTCTACATCCTGTATCTCAGAAACATACAAATAAAGCATTTTAGGATATACATTTATACGAACTTTTTTACTTATTTTTATCTGCAGAATATGCTGCCGAAGTTTCCGGAATATAGTTCGGACCACCCTGTATATGGAGTATTGCTGCAAAGTCCCTGTACGTGGCCTTTAAAGCGTAATTTACACGGGATAGAAAATTGAGATAGAACTTGCTAGAGTAACTTGCGATAGTGTTTACATTTAGGCAAATTTTAAAGAAATTTCTTGCAACAAGTACTTTCTAGGCATATGTTTTGAGCAAGAAATTGCATGCACGTATACGTGGTATGGTGTATATTGCACAAGTATATTGTTTAGTAGAAAAATGTCGCGCCGTAAAAAGAGAGCTGCAGCCACTGCTCTTCTTGTTGCAATTTTCCGCAAACAGTCAAGTAAATCTAGAAAAAGAATATGGGTTAAAGAATGGATTGCCAGAAGGCCTAGTCTTGGAGTTTACGCGATGTTATTAAAAAAAAAAAGAAATGAAGAGACCCAAAGCATTTAAACAATTTTCTGCGAACGTCAGAAGTCGATTTTACTTTTTCTTTTTATAATTTTGTTCCACTCCTGGTTTGCTTGGGTACGAATATTATGTAGCTTCCGCTGAATCTCAGCCTCAGTTGTGTTGAATTTGTCAGCTATAAATTTGATTGCTTTTTGCTTTTTAGCTCTGTCTCTGTAAATTTTCGATTTTTTTTGCCACAATTCCGGAAATCCTTCAAATAAATTAATCAAAGTTATGGTATTTTCTTTCGACCACATACTCCATTTTAATATCGTTATTTAACACGTCTTCGAAAATCACTTGCACCAAAAACTTTCAACAAGACGGAAATAAATTTTAACTTGCCAGAGCACTCTCCTAACATGTTTACACTTGCAAGCGTCTTTCGTCGCAACCACTTCCCCGCCAGTTTTGTGACTTGCTGGGAGAGTGCTTTCGGATACTGTTTACATTATGCAAGTTTGGTAGAAGTGCTCTCTCAGACATATACTTGCGATAATTTACTTGCCCGTGTAAACTGCGCTTTAACTTGACAATAACTCGTACACCGATTCACTCAAAGGACTGTCAACCGAAAACGAAATGAAACCGAAAATGACGGATATTTTACTGGACGTTTTTCCAGAGATGCGCAGGGCTACCAACTGTTATATTTTTCAGACTACCCTCGTAGTAGTTGTTTGGGATGGACATTTGATTTCGATAAAAGTTGAAGTTTATGAACATAAAAATAGTTGAGCTATCGGAACCAAGGTCAGAATCACAATGGATATAGATTGAAACAATTACTATAGCGAACCCGTCGAGAATGATGAACATAACTGCTTTCGCAACACTTCTTAGTAATGTTGATTTTTTTCTATATCGGCTACCAAACCAATTCGATTGCCACTTATAGTTATCAGCGTCGCGTTTTTATGATAGGCAATGAGACGAATAATATTGTTTCATTATGCGGTTTTGTTCTTTTGATAAGGCATATTTAACATGGTTATGGTATTAGTCTAGAAAAAACAATCGACGCTGGTTGAAAAAAATATTTACAGTATTTTTTTAACCAGCAACTGCATAGGTACGTTTCTTTTGATAGACAAAAATAGACAATGGATTATTCCCACCATATGGAAGGACATGACACGATGGATCATAGTACAATGGACCACAGCTCAATGGATCACAGTAATCACGATAGGGGTTCTCATGGTGGTGAATCTATGAGTAATATGCATATGAGCCATATGGATGGTATGAATATGTGGGTAAGTGTCACACATGTATGAATATTTCCAGATTTTTTGAGTACATAAATATGTATATATTTAATTTTTTGTCTAATTTTCTTTTTTTTTGAAATATTAAGTAAGTTAATTATTTAATAAATCTCTTGCATATTATAGGTCTTTATTTTTAGCCGACCATACCAATAGGTATGGTAGGTTAAGATCGGCAAAAAAAAGTTTTTTAATAATAATTTCACTCAAAATGAGTTATTTGGGTCATAAATGACCTAAATACAAAATATTTTCATGTCTTTACTTTATACAAAACTTATTTTTACTTATACAAAATATTTAGTGTCTGTCTGTCTGTCTGTCCGTCTGTCTGTCCGTCTGTCTGTCCGTCTGTAACACGATAACTCAAAAACCGCTAAACCGATTTTAACCAAATGTGGCACAAAAATACTGTGGCACCCGAGAATCTGGCCATTTTGAGTGAAATTAAAAAAACTTTTTTTTTTGCCGATCTTAATAGCCTACCTTACCTATTGGTATGGTCGGCTAAAAAATTGGAAAAATTCCTTTACTTTGAAACTAAAAGATCTGCCTACCAACTTTTTATTAACATATTTTAGTATGGGCGGCTATACGTGCCTCCCGGCGCCAATTTTTATTTTGTTTTTTTAATAAAGACCTATAATATGCAAGATATTTTTAAATAGGTAATTAACTTACTTAATATTCCAAAATCAAGAAAAATACACAAAAACTTAAATATAAATTAGGAATAAAGAAAAACTAAATACAAAAATATTTATAGATTTTTTTTAATTACCATCTTAATATGTCAAATGTTATTTTTCCCAATGCTTCATTTCGCCTCTGATTCCTATAGTTTCTTTAAAGTTTATAAGAAAATATACCTTCCTATAAATCTAACAGGCTCTCTAATGTCTCTCTAAAGTCTGCCCAATAAGTGCATACATGACAGTGACAGGTGCCTGTCATTTTATTTCATAATTATTACATTGTATTATCATATTTGTTGTCAATATTTAGTTGAGTTGTCAATTTTATGTTGTATGTCGAAATTTTTCTTGACTCGTTGGGCAGACTTTATATATCAGGTGCGTCTCAAAAGTGGCTCAGCCCTAAACCATTTTTATTTTTTCAGATAAAAAAAAAACAGATTTGATATGTTAGTATGTGACATAAATTAGGATTGATTGACATATTCAATTGTTTTTGGTCACTTCCTGTTTCACCGGAAATGCCCACAAATTTTGATTTTTAAATAAAACTCTCGGTATATTTCTACTTTATCGATAGAAAATGACTCTCTGAATAGAATGACATATCGTCTGTCAACTTTTGACATTTTCGCATAGATGATTTATTTGAAATTGTAACATGCGGTTTATAACGACAAGGTGACTCGAAATATCAAGTGTGTGGTACCAAATTAAGCTTGATTTTCATGCATCCGTTGTCCGACGATACGTTGATACGATATTAATTTTATTGGTAGAATTTAAAGACTTTGATTGATTAGAAAATAACGCAGTTTTTTAAATGTATTGCATTTTCATGCCTCCGTTTATCGGATATACGTTGGTGTCATTTTATATTTTTGTTTCCATAACGATTTTGCTAATTTACTTATATTTTTATTAAGATTAAATTAAATTTGTCTAAAAAGTGTCAAAACGTCCGTTATCGTATGAACGGGTCCGTTGACGGGCTGCAGTAAAATATTTACGGACGAAAAGTGGCGCGAAAACGCTATGACCAATCAGAGCACCATCGGACCATCGTACGATACGTATAACGGATGCATGAAAATCAAGCTTTACTCGTAAAAAAATAGAAGTACATATTCACAGATGGGAGTATTATTTATACAGGGTTGTTCACCACATACGACACGGAGTATTGTAGCTAAACGATTAGATTTTTGCAAATTGTAAGTTTTGGGTTCGTTGAAGTACTATTAGAGCTACAATTTGTAAAAAACAAAACACGCCCAATTCATTCATAAAATAGGCATGGGCGTACGGTGTTATATGAAAATAATGTGTATCATAAATATAATACTCTAATATAATTTTTTTCAAAAAACTTTATGCTGTTTGAATCGTTACTGTTGAGTTAGCAGATAAACACTAAAAGCTTTTATTAAAGCTCCCTTAAATATTTTGAATCATTTTATTATTGTGTTGTTAATATAATAGAAGAAATAATTACAGCTGGGGATTGGAACCTTTGGTGTTACACAGCAAAATAAAACACTAAATCAGTACAATACACCAAAACACTTTTAATTTTACACTGGACGCACGTTTCGCTAACCATGTCTGCCATCACCAGATGATCAAGACTGAGTCTTGAGGTATATTTATTTATATCGGTACTAACTATATTTTTTTCTATAATACATAATTTTAGATATAACTATTTCCAGCAAAAAAAAAATCTTGAAAATAGTTAACTTTGGAAGCGCAAACAAAACATAATTTTACTCACCAGTAGATCCAATATTGCCTATTACACCAGATATGGTATCGCTCCGCCAGCAGTTTTAAAGGTTAGGTCATTTGTCTACCCATATGTTACATCTATGGAGGGCTTAAAAAGGAGATTTATCGGCAATGGGCAAATTTGAAATTTCTGTCCCCACTTTTAAGCAGCTTCCTCGGTTTGACAGCAGAGGCACTGCGATCGACTGGGATAATACATTTTCATTGTTAGTATACGATTTAATTGTGTTTTTTAATAAAATTTATGAGTTAATTTACAAATTTTTTAGCAGTACAACAATGAGTCGTGGTAAAATTGCTTTGTACCTGGCTGTACAAGTGGGAATCCTAATAAAAACAAGGCAAATAAAGAACGGGGTGAAAGAAACCCAAGCCTTTTTCAAAGCTCCTAATGTAAGTAGTATGATCTATTTATTTATAAAAATTATGGATAGATGTTAAGAAAAACATTAAAATTATATACTGTCAGTGTACAGATTAAATTATAAACCAAATTAATAGGAAATATAGCCTAAAATCAACATGTGTATAACATAACCTAGGAGGCCTTGTTATAAAATTAAAATAATTTAATACTTACTAGGTGCTAAAATTACCTGTTGACATGTACCTATATTAACCACAGTTTGAACAGTGCTATTGAAAGTGAATATTAAATATTTATACTTCAAGATCGTATTCTCAAAATAACAGCTTTAATAATGAAATTGTATATTAAATTTATATATTGTATATTTTATTTATTAAATTTAGTGGAATTAGTTAATAGAAACAAAAGTTGTAATGTATTAATATTGCTAAATAAATATTTATATGATGAAATAAGTCAGCGTATATACATATTCACAACTCTGTATTTTTGTGCTTTTGAAATAAACTGAGTACATTATTTATTCATTAATATTTTATTTACAAACCTACCTTATATTAATAAAGTGAATATCAATAGAAAAACCTTTACAATTATTAGGTGACATTGAATATAATATATCTTGAATTTAATTGTCTACGAAACAGTGACAATTTGCAAAACTTTGCTAATGACATTAAAACTTACAATTCAACGCTAGAAAAAACGCTATTGAACACAGGAAACGTTTCAGCTCAATATACCTACTCTCTAGTTTCAGCTATAAAAAGTTATGGAATAGATAACACCGATCAAAGGGTGCAATGGTAACGTTCGTCTTCAGTTTCCATTTATGATTAAGTTATTCCTGATAAAATACTCTTAATTTTCGTTATTCAATCTGTCAATCGCCATAAAACCACTACTAGTTCGAAAGATTTTAATGTTTATTAAAATGGTATCACACTAAACTGCATGTAAACATGTCAATTTCAAATGTTTTAATGAAAAACTATGAACCTTTAAACTGCATCAACAAAACTATTAATAAAACACTAACACAATCACACCATAAACTATTTCATTCGCATTTCTCATCAAGAAACAATTACTGTTTACATCAAATCAAAGGTTGAACTGGTGATAAATTTGTTGCTGGAACTTCTATCTTTTTTGTACAACAGTTCTAGGGAAGATTTATTTTAGCAGCTTATATGTTTCTTCGGTCGTGTATGCACTAAAAAGAACCACATAATAAAACATTTTTATAATATCAACTTAGGAAAAGGATATATTAAACCGGCATCTAATATAACCTAACTAACTTTTCAAACTCAAATTTAAGGTTTTGTATTCACAATTTTAGCCACGCACATTGCTCAATTAGAAAAACCACGTTTCTAAAAGCTAACTCTGGTAAAAATATGCCCAAATATTAACTTGGCTCTATAATTTATAACAAAATAGTTATTCTTGCCATAAGAAGCTGTGTATTTCTAGTATCCCAATCATCACAAGCGCCCCTAACGGCGATTTTCGAACCATAATTTTGCGTCTTCGATTCGCCTCCTCCTTTTAGACTCCATAGTTACATCCAAATAGATAATACTTGGCTATATTTTCGAATTTCGCGTATATATATTTATTGCTCCATTAATATTTATCTGTTATTTTAACATTTACGCCAAAAAAATTCATTTGATTTTAATAACCCCCTAAGCGTTTCCCTGCAAAAGGAAAATTCGATTCTTCCTGCAATTTTTGCAAAAGCTTTCTAATTGTGGCGACGAGTTTGAATTCGAGATAAAATCTATTTATCAAATTCCTGACCACTTCGAAAAAGTCGTTGAGCTTTTCGACAGCAGTCTCACGTGGTCGTTTCTTTCCAGAGAGGATATCATTTTATCGGGGTTAGTTTTCAGCCTTTTTTTTATCTTCTGTGTGAATTTTTTTATAGCCGATACGCTAACTCCGGTATAAAGAAATATCCGCTCAAGTTTACGTTTAAGCGGCAACTCAAGCGAACTCTCTGTAGCTTCTTCATCGCAAACCCTATTATGAACACAAGGAAATACACCAAATGAGATTTCATCCACGTTATTATTAACTTACCTATATAAATTAGCTATTATTTCTCTTGTCTGACTATGTAGCGTCTTACCCTTAACAAATTTATTCGTTTTAAAACACAAATATACGATCAAACTTGATATTAATAATTAAAAACTACGAACGAAAAACATTATAACAAGATAACAAAACAATAAAACACAACTTAACTATCAAATATACTAAAAATATAGGAATAAAGTTTAGGATAACCGGTATAAAATAATGAAATAAAGTAATAATGATCAAAAAAATGACACCGCCACTGGATATTTCAATAGTATTCAATATTCCTACTCTTTTCAGAAGAGACCGTGAAGTTGGGGATAAAGCAAGCGAATAGGAAAGGCGTAAAAGCCATGGCAACCGCGTGGTAACAAATCCTGTGACGTACTCGCCAATCATGTTCGATGAATAGGCGGCCATGCGCGGCTAATAGGCAGATTATACAGAATGAAAGAAATAAGTTATTAAATAAAAACATATCGAACAATATGAACTACGTTAAAATTCCTTAGTAATATACGTCAGAATATATGCTAAACACATTATATATAATAAAAATATATTAAATTTATAGTTCATGTCTGGCAATTTTGCAATTTTATAGATAAACGTGGCAATATCGATTTTTTTTTCTCGCATTCCTTCCGTAGCTACAGATCCGATGGTCAAACAGTAAGCGATTAGATTTTTGCAAATTGTAAGTTTTGGGTTCGTTGAAGTACTATTAGAGCTACAATTTAAAAATATTTTTACAAGATACAGAGCGTCCCAAATAAATAAAAAATATTAAAGTTGTATTTTTTTAAATGGAACACCCTGTATATTATTACATTTATAGTTTCTACGATTAAAATAAAGGTAAATTTGATTAAGGTTTGTTACACTTAAACCTTACCGTTTTTGAAATATTTATTGATCAGTTATTGAGTTGAATTAATAAAAATTATACTACCTTATACAGAGTGTCCAAAAATTTATAATTAATAATTACTAGCTTTAAACGGCAATAACTTGTTTAATTTAAATAGAACACCCTCTATATTTTACCGGAAACAGATGCACTATTTAATTGTCTACAAAATTGTATTATACCATTTTTTACCTATCTCTTGAAGATTTCGTAGAAAATGCATTTTCTTATAATTTAGACCTCATTTTTCACTATACCCATGGAATATTGACATTTTAGATTTTTTTAAAGCAACATATGTACAAAATGTTCATACAATACAGGTGATAAAAATTATAATATTGTAAGTCTATTTGTTTAAAAAAAGAAAACTATCTAAATCTTTGTAAAAGAGGATACCAATAATTATTACTAATTATTAATATATCACCATTATTTCCGCCCAAAAATTAGTTAATTACGTACTTAATTGTTTTAATTAATGAATTATTCATAAAATAACATAAATAAATGTGCATTTGATTAAGAAATTAATACAATAATAAGTTATGAAAATGAACATCTGTTTTTATAAATAAGCATTCGTCAAGAAATTAAATAAAATTTATATGGTGTTACTTTTTACCACACTGTGTAATACACACACACAAAATTCAATTTTTTAGTATTTGGAGCAATTATTATTAATCTACGTAAACAGTCAATAAAAAATGTAGTTTGAATAATGGGATCATATTAATTCTCAAAAAATATTTAAACAATCTTTTTATCTTTTAATAAAATAAGCGAAATATATCGACAATATTATTTAATAATTAGTATGTACTCTTTCAAAATTTCTTACATCTTTAAAGTAATCTAAAATGTCAATATTCCATGGGTATAGTGATAAATGCTTAGGATAAATGAAGTCTAAATTATAAGAAAATGCATTTTCTACGAAAACTTGAAGAGATAGGTAAAAAATGGTATAATACAATTTGATAGACAATTGTGCATCTGATTCTCGTGAAATATAAAGGGTGTTCCATTTAAATTAAACAAGTTATTGTCGTTTAAAGCTAGTAATTATTTAATATAAATTCTTAGACACTCTGTATAAGATAGTATTTTATTTATTATTGCAACAAGATATCTGATCAATAAATAAACTTCAGTAAATATTTAGTATTAAAAACTTTGATACCCTTGGAGAAATGAAGCCTTAAAATTTTTACTGCAATTTCATAAAATTGAAAATATTTCAAAAACGGTAAGGTTTAAGTGTGATAAACCTTAATCAAATTTACCTTTATTTCAATCGTAGAATCTAAAAATAGAATAATATACAGGGTGTTCCATTTAAAAAAACACAACTATAATATTTTTCACTTATTTGGGACACTCTGTATCTTGTAAAAATATTTTTAAATTGTAGCTCTAATAGTCCTTCAACGAACCCAAAACTTACAATTTGTAAAAATCTAATCGTTTAGCTACAATACTCCGTGTCGTATGTGGTGAACATCCCTGTATATTTTTGTATTTGTATTGACTAAGAGTGGGTCCCATGGGGGGGGGGGGGACCCTCCACTGAGGCCGCGAGGGCCTATTGTGGCTCAGTTTCTACACGCTCTAATTTACAAGAGCGTCAAAGTTCACCCTCAAGACCCAGCCTCCTAATATAGGCCGTTATGTCTGAGGGCGATATGTCTCCTAGGTCTGATAGGTCTAGCATGGGTTTGCCAAACATCTCAAACCTGGTCCTGCTTCCAGCGGGACAGGTACACATAACGTGCTTCATTGTTTCTGTCATCTTCCATACAGAGTCGGCATTCGGCGTCTTCCACCAGTCCCGTCCTCTGTAGGTAGATCTCAGCCGGCAGTGGCCCGTGTACACTGCAGTGAGCACACGCGTTCCATTCCTACCGGCCTTTAGGAGTTCTCCTGTTCTATGTTTGGATGGCCCTGCTAGGATTTTCTTGGCATGTTCCATTCCGGGACTGTCATTCCAGTCCCGGAATGTCGCACTCCTAACCCATTCACAGAGCCTGTCTCTTGCGAGATTTTTAGGAATGCTAAGTGTCGGTTCTGGGCCCACGAATGGCGAGCCTGCACCAATTTTGGCGAGGGAATCAGCACGTTCATTTCCCTCTAGGCCGACATGTCCCGGTATCCATATTAGCGACACTTTGTTCCTATCTTCCAGTATATTGAGTAGTTTCTTACATTGAAGAATCGTCATAGACGTGCTTTTCGTTACCTCAAGTGCTTTCAGCTTTGCTTGACTATCCGAAAATATCATATTGTTTTCCCGGTGTATTGCTGTTCTACCAGCAGTTGCACACAGGTTTCAATAGCATATAGCTCAGCTTGGAAGATCGTGGTGTGTTTTCCAAGACTGTAGTAGATCTCAGTCTTTGGACTGCTGCAGTAAATTCCTGCTCCAGATCCTTTTTCTTTTTTGGATCCGTCCGTGTACCAACACATTTCCGATGTAATAAACCGTTTCCCGGCTTATCCCACTCGTCCCTATTCGGAAACAGGACGTTGTAGGTGCGCGTCAAGAGTTGGACTTGTGGTGTGATACCCGAAACCATTCCCAGAATCTCATCCGACTGTAGTTCTTCTACTAGCCGGTTTTGTATGAACATGATTGTTCCTTGGCTTCCTCGTGCTATATTTAGAGACCATCTTGCCTCTCTTTCCAAAAGACTTTGAAGAGGAGGTAGGTCGAGTAGGGTTTCCATAGCTTTTGACGGCGTGGAATGGAAGGCACCAGTCACCGCTAAGCATGCTTGTCGTTGTAGTTTCGACAGTTTATTCTTTGCCGTTGTTTGGTTGTCTTTCTGCCACCAGGCAACTGCACCATACGTGATAATAGATCTGATGGTCGTCACATATAGCCAGTACATATTTTTGGGATTTAATCCCCAGTTTCTACCACAAATTCGGCGGCATGCCCATAGAGCATAGCAAGCCTTTTTTGATGTTTTTTTCCAGATGAGAGGTCCAGCTAAGTTTTTTGTCCAGGTTTAATCCTAGATACTTAACTTCCTCCGCAAACGGAATTGTCTCACCAAGAAGAATGGGCGGTTTCAGTTTGTCTGTTTTCCTTCTTCTGGTGAATGGTATGATCACGGTTTTCTGTGGGTTTACACTTAATTGTTCCAGTGTGCACCAGCCGTGAATTGCATCTAGGACTTCGTGTATTTTTGAGGAGATGTCCTCCTTTTTGTGTCCTTTTACTAGGATTACCAGGTCGTCTGCAGTCCCTGTATATTGCACGGGTATATTTTAGTGTACAAAACCTTTGGAAAAAGCAGAGGGAAAAAGCTAGTTAAGAGTTCTGAAATTGGCATTTCCAAAGCTAATATTGAAAATTTTTTGGTTTTATTTCTCGGAAATCTCCGTTTGGTTTTAGTTTTTATCAGTTAGATTACGAATTTGAATATACCGCGTGGAAATTGAAAATCGGACAATTTGGTGAAGGAATCTTATAAATAGTTAGTTTGTTGTGTGTTATAAGTTA